AGTGTTTTGTCTCTAAAACCCTGGGTCTGGGGGTATTTGTTTTGACACTTTGTAGCTGAGGAGTTGAGTCTAGGGGGAAGCATGCTCAGTGGATATAGTAGAATATAGCATTTACCTCACTTCACTGCTAAAACTACCGGCACTGGGGTGAGAGGGGCTGGCGTGGGGGCTGATGGCGGCAGGCACATTCTGTCTGTCCCGGTCAGGAGGTATGATCTTGAGCACGCATAGCTCACATGGATGTCTGAGGTGCCTTTTTTGATTGTCATTCATGTCAGGTGCCACTGGGAGCTGGGATTGCTCTGGCCTGTAAGTATAATGGAAAAGATGAGGTCTGTCTGACTTTATACGGCGACGGCGCTGCTAACCAGGTGAGAATGGGGCTCACTCTGATACTCATAGTTAAGTGATGCTACCACTTTAGAAGCTTATGTGAAAACAGCAGGATTTTTTAACTGCAGTTTTAAACATCATGTTTAGAACTCATTGCAAACCAGTTGTCTTGGTGCCCAGGTCAGATTCCTAGGATGGTGCCTGAGCCTTCATTGTTGGTTTCCGGCTTCCCCTGCCACCGTTGCAGTCACTGCCAGTCCCACGGGTGGTGCTGTGAAGCCAGGCACGCAGTGCTGTCTGCCACTGGCGCCCGCCAGCCGTGCAGAGCCTGAGCTGCACGATTTACACTCAGGTGTAGCACTCAGTAGCCGGACATTCGCACGTCATCTCTTCAGTGAACTCTGTTCTCTGGTGGGGCCCCGGTGGCTCAGCCTTCCCTTGTGCCATGCCTCCCCCGCCGAAGGCAGGGCTGTGGCAGCGTTTCCTGTCCTGAATGAATGCTCTAGAAATGTCAGGTAAAGCAACAGCTGTGGCGGATAAGTCTGGAGAACTGAACAAAATTAAACTACTTGAGACTCTTGTGCTTTCAGGGTCAGATATTTGAAGCCTACAATATGGCGGCTTTGTGGAAGTTACCTTGCATTTTCATCTGTGAGAACAACCGCTACGGGATGGGGACGTCTGTTGAGAGAGCCGCGGCCAGCACCGATTACTACAAGAGAGGCGACTTCATCCCCGGGCTGAGGGTGAGGCCTCCCGTCATGCTCCGCGGGCACACCTGTGACTGTCTCAACAGAAAACACTTCCGTTTTTCTATGGATGAACAGGTTGCATCAAAGTAAAACGGTCGGGGCCAGTTGTGGTTATGCTCTGTCCTTGTTGCTTATTAGGTAGACGGAATGGATATCCTCTGTGTCCGAGAGGCAACAAAGTTTGCGGCAGCCTACTGTAGATCGGGAAAGGTAAGAGTGTCAGGTCCCTGGGTGGGAATTTCTGAAGACACTGTCACTCAAGAAAGGCAGTGTCCCACTTGCTGCCATGGCTGACCAGGGGTAGCTGCTATTGAGGTGTAGAGGAGAGAAGCAGGGGCCAGTAGGGTGACAAGGGTCCCCATGAACACCACGGTCTTCGTGGCACTGCTCCTGGGAGCCGGCTTGTGCTTCTGTCTGCAGGTGGCTCTCCAGTGCTTGCCTGGCCTCTCCCCTTCTGGTTTAGGTCATCGTTGTAATTCGCTCCCAAACCCTTGCACTGAGCGACTGGGAGTCTTTTCACAGTGCTCAGCATAGAACTAGGCCGTGTCACAGGCATTTAGTGGCTTTGTGTTACACATAGACGTTGAAAGCAAGGGCTCAGGACTGTTTGACGGTGTGGGAAGGGCAGCAGAGAGAATGGCCTGCAAAGAGCATTTAGTGCTGCTGGAGGTTCAGGAGGTGTTCTGCCCACATCAGGCTTGCATAGCATAGAGAGCACGCCCGCAGTTATCTGAGGGAGGAGCCAGGCAGGTGCCCTCATCTCACGATGCCAGTGGGATGTGGCTGGCAATGCTGATAGGCTTAGGGTGGTTGGAGTGAGGTCAGGAGAAAATGAGTGAAGACAGGCTTGCTGCAGTGGGCTGCGCTTCCACACTGGGACTCAAGGCCGAGAAGCTGGGCCCTGGGCACTGCCGTCACCTCTTGTAACTGCTGTAAAGGCGGAGGAGCCAACCCTGGGTGAAAACGCCAAGTGGCTTGTAGCATGTTTACTCTCCCAGCAGGACCAAAGCTGCAGTTACACAAGGGCCTGGAAAACCCCTGGCCAGTGCACCCTGCCCCTAGTGTTTCCAGATGCCCAGAGGAACAACGGACAATGATGGGTTGATTAGGTTTTGAGTTTAGGGGTAATTGTTTGGACCATTTTACAGATGAAGAAACTGAGGTACATGGCTAAGTTATCTCTTAGCCAGGATTGAACCCAAGCGCTTAGAGCCAGCTCCTCCCATGCCCAGTCCTTTCTTCTTCCCAGAAGTGGGCTAGGATGAGCAGGCTGCCGACCTGGCAAGACTCCCTGTGACCCTCATCTCTGAGGTGCTAAGCACCTGCTAGCTTTGTTTCTATCAGAACTTGGTTGCAGCAGCACTAGCTGCCAGAGCCCTGGAACCATGTGTGAAGTGGGCAAGAGGCTGATGCCTTTTTCTTTCAAAATGAGCTATTAGCAGTTTACACTTCTACTAAATGCGAGAATGAAATGTGCCATAGGAGCCTGAAATGAAAAGATAGAAATTAACCAGCTGAATGATTCCTGCCGACTTAGCTGACTACAGATGTGAGAATACATCATGCTGGAAAGGTCTGTGCTGGGGCCTGGCACTGCTGACATGCTGTCCTCTTACCTGACTGCCCCTCGGTTCTGTTTTAGGGACCCATCCTGATGGAGCTGCAGACTTACCGTTATCACGGACACAGTATGAGTGATCCTGGGGTGAGGTATGCCTGGGGAAGTGGAGAGGGTGTACCAGCTTAGGTGGGCTTTGAATGCTGCCGCAGTAAAGCATCTCAACATTGGCTTCTAAAGCCAGGCACCAGTTCGCTTCACTTGCCAAATTGGTTTGTTGGCATTAAGTGTTAGTCTGAAAGCAGTGCCACTTAAAGAAATTGCTTCCAACATGAAATGCATTGTGGAAATTCCTCCACTCTAGAGTAATAAAAGAAAGCTTTAAGTCACTTGGTTGCATAAAGAAATGAGACTCATGTAACAGTATAGTGTAGTGCCTTTGGGGGCACTGAGCAAATGGCACAAAATCCTCCCAAAGGTGATCAGGATATGGGGAAGGTGCCAGGAGATTAAAAAAAAAAAGCAAGGTTAACTGGCACAGGGGGCCCATTCCATACCCAAATATCCAAAAATCCAGGCTATACTGGGATGATGTGGGAAATGTGTGATCTGCCACCTCCAGTGTGATAACAGTGGACATGAACGAGCCTCCTATGAACTCTATGGGAAGATGCGCTGTTGGCGTCACTGGGCGCCACGGGGAAAGGCTGCCAGTGTCACAGTGGAGAGCCTGGAATCCCCGGGTATGCTGGCACTGCTGCTTTGGAGTGGGAAGGGAGAAAAGGAGATGCCTCAGTCTATGAGGGCCATTGTTCGAGCAGTTCCATGGCCCCTGGTGTAGCGCCCTGGAGGAGCCTTGGGAACTGGCAGCGTAGCTTGTTCTGAGACCCAAGCAGCTATAGAGCTATGAGATACTTGGAAGCATCAGTCATGTATGTTGCAAAGCCAACAAGTTTTAAATCCAGGCAGATTCCTGTCGAATTTTCAGGCACCACAGTAAAATCCCCAGGCTGCGGTCATCTCGGACACGTGTGTATTCTGCTCTCTGCCCGTTTCCCTCTCCCCAGTTACCGCACACGAGAAGAGATCCAGGAAGTCAGAAGTAAGAGCGACCCCATCATGCTTCTCAAGGATAGAATGGTCAACAGCAATCTGGCCAGTGTTGAAGAATTAAAGGTACAGTCCCCTCGCTTGGCTCCAGTTTGAGCTGTCTGTTTCCACCCCCAGCATTTGACATGGTGGTGCATTAATTCATGCTGAATGTCTACAAGGCTATTATGTTGGGTCCTGGGACCGAGAAGAGCAGAGGCATCCCTTTCTAAGAAGATACTGTGGGTTTTTAACTGCAGAGTAGCTCCTAGGAGGATATGTGTTCCTGTCTGTACGTGTTGAAGTTGGTCCTCCATGGTTAGTAGTGGGACAGCTAGTTGCACTGGCTGCTGGCTCTGGGAAGAACAAGTTGCTACCTGAGCTGCTTTGTATTGAAATCTTTTCTCCTGGAATCTGACTTCTAGGAAATCGACGTCGAAGTGAGGAAGGAAATTGAGGACGCCGCGCAGTTTGCCACAGCTGACCCCGAGCCGCCTCTGGAGGAGCTAGGCTACCACATCTACAGCAGCAATCCCCCTTTCGAAGTGCGCGGGGCCAATCAGTGGATTAAGTTTAAATCAGTCAGTTAACAAGAGATAGCGAAGGGAGGGCTGTGCCATCGGCAAAGGTATGGAGCCCCCCCTCTGCATGTTCTCAACTTTGAGGAATGAAAATCCCTGTGAGCTTTCAGTGAAACTACACGGTATGTAGATTAAAGGGAGAGTAACTGCGTGCAGCTTGTGGCAATGCAGACATTAACCTTTCCCCCTCTTTTATACTTCCAGCAAATCCTCTCTAGTTAGTCAAAGGAGCACTGCCTTGCGGGCAGGGAGACGCGTGCCCTTGCAGGTGTACTCACAAGCAGCAGAGCCCAGCCTGCTTGTCAGCTGTCCTGGTCCCGAGACAAGCAGTGTCAGCAGCAGAGGGGAAGGAAGACAACTCCACTTGCAAATGAAATTAACAGCCAGGTGACAGTTTAATCCATTCACATCGGCTACAAGGCACATTGCTTATACATAGGAGCCAGTCTAACACTTCACCAAAACAGCGACTCCCAGGCTATTAAACACCAATCCTTCGCCACCCAGTGCTGCAGCACGCATGGTGACTCCTTTCCCAGGGCACTGAATCTGTACGCATACAAAGGTTGTCAAAACTAACACATACGGTTCTGTTGGTTTTTACGATATTACGATCTTCCTAATGTATTGTGTGCACATAACAGAAGTAGCCGACGTGTTCACTGTCACCATGGGCGTACTGGCGGTTTAGCGAGGCCCACCAAACCTGCTTCCATACTGGGAGAGGGCATTCCAGAACCGGTACAGGAGACCACCCCTAGAAAAGACAGACCAGCACAAGCCTTACGGCAAAGTCCTGCAAAAAGTTTGTGGAAAACCAGCAATCTGTTAAGGGTGGGTGCTGTGTTGCACGATGAGGGGGGTCACTGAAATGGGATCCCTGCCCTTTTTAGGTATTTGGGGAGTGAGCCAATGGGTGCAAGATCTGTCACTTTCAGCATTTTTTAAAAGCTCTTCAAAGCTTAAAAAAAAAAAATCCAGGTTCAAAAAGATTGGTTCACTCCCCAAGTATCCACAAGAGCAGGACTGGCCAGAGAAGTCAGGGTGCCCAGGCCCCTGCTACCCGAACAACTGGGGGAGGTGTCACACGCAGTGGTTTAGCAGGTTGGTCCTAACTCTTCATTGCTGCATACAGATGACATGCAGGCCATGGCTGCCTGCTTACAGGTCCTGCCTTGCCTCCCTGGCAACAAAGTGAGGGAAGGTGGCCATTGAGACCCTCAAGGGCACAGTCCCCTGGTGAGGGGAACATCCCGTGGCTCTTACCGCTGGTAGAGATGGCTCAGCTCCTCCTTAGTGATGTTATTAGGAATTGCAGACAGCGCGTAGCCTTCCTCGACAATCTGAAACAAAGAGCAGCCACGTAAGAACGCTTGAGCTGCAACACAGGTGCAAGCTTTTGGCAAGGAAGGCACCTTTTCAATGAGGCTTGCATCCGCTCCTTGCTGCTTCAACCATTCTAAGAGATTCATTTGTGTCCTCTGCCCTTGAGAGGGCCCAGGGTCCTCGGCAGGAGCTGTGATAAATTGAAATTTGTTGTACATTAGTGTCTAAAAACTAACACTTCCAAAGCAAGTAAGAGGTTAAGCAAAAGACCAGAAGGCAAAGGCGATGGGGGATGAACTCTGAGCCAGCCCTGCACTCCGAGAGCTCCTGTGCTCTTACTCCACGTACCTTCACTATCCCTTTAAAGTGCTTCTGCCTGGTTGAAAATGCTTTTTCTCTAGAGCTTGAATAGCTCTGGAAGGCAACTCAAATAACAAGATAGCTTTCCTACATTCGAGCCACCCGATTCTGTATGGCAAAGTAGCTCTAACTTCAGACCAGACTTGCTAAGTAGAATTGAGGCAGTGAAGTTAGGACACACACACTTCCCTTCACCCGAAACTGTTGTCATTAGGGTAACTCATCCCTTGCAAGTGAGGGACACGAGGCCGCCTTGGGAAGCGGCCTCGGCCTTGCCATACTGCATGTGCAAGGTCATCCACGTGCCTCATGGTAGCACTGGCTGCTTTCCATTGCAATGACAAGCTTTGGGCACACATGACCAATTGTTTCTTCGAGGCTTAATCTGAGTTGAAAAGTCTGGCTTGATCTTAACCATGCTCACATGCTGGTCTCGGGGCGGGGGACTCACCATGCGTGCTGTGCTGCAGCTCATGCAGCTCCTGAGCTTTTTCCTGCAGAGTTTGCTGCAGGAAGCTCTGGTAGTTTCTCTCTCTCTGAATTAGGTGTTCCAAAAGTCTGGTTGGAAGGAAAAGAGGGAGAAAACAAGCCATTTGCCAAGCAGCCTACGGCCTGAACTCACCTTGCACATCTGTGGGAAGTGAAGAGCCTGCAACGGGGCAGGCCTAAGTGTGGGCTCTGGGTTAGGAAGCAGAGTGCAGCCTGGCTGCAGGAGCCCCCTCAGGTTTCCTTCCAGGGCTCAGAGCATGCTTTTACCATGGCCTTGAATTTGTGCCTCCCCTGAGCACTGCTAAGGTGATGGTATTGGGGGAGGTGAGGCAGGGACTCCTGTTCCCTTGGAGAAGATCCCAGAGTTTTCCAGGAGGGACCTGGTGAGATGCTGGCGAGCCCCAAACAGAAGAACCTTCCCAGAGATCTGGGTCTCGCAGGCTCCATAGCTGGGCCAATGACGGTCCTGCCCTGGGCTGGCTGCCCCAGCGAAGGCTCTCTGTTACAGCAGCCTCAACAGCTTGGAGCTGTGCAGTGCTCTGAACTCACCTGGACAGCAGAGATGTGTGCACACAGTGGGTCCTCTGAACTGCTAAGTCTGTGTAGCTAGACCAAGGGCCCTCCCGCAGGACACTGCACGCCCTACAGCACCTCTGGCTCAGAGTAGTGATGTCATCCTCTTGAGCCACTTACTTGGGCCCCCCAAGCCAGAAAAGGCAGGGCTGGGGCACAGGCCAGTGGTGCTCAGGTCAGCTCAGGCCGCCACGTGGCCTCTGTTCCCAGTGGCAGGTTCTTTAACGCAAGTGGAGAACAGTGTGCAGAAGTAAGCTTTCAGTGGCTGAGGTTCTCCAAGCAGTCACTACTCTGCAGTCACTGGGTGGGGAAAGGCAGCAAAAAACCCTTCCACCGCCAGGCCTGCGGCCTGTCCCAAGCTACCTCCTTCCACAGTGGCAGGAGAGTTGGATTCCAGCTCGTACCTGCACCCACTGGTAGAAAAAGCTTTTGGTGCTGCCACAGGGCCAGACTGATGACCTCCAGGTACGCATTCTGCCTGGCAGCCACAGCTGCAGCGTCTGGCACCATAAGGCTGCACGGGAACATGTCAGCCGTGTACATGAACACGCTGGCTACTGCTCAGCTGCTTACCACCAGAGGCTACAGACCCTCCTCAACGGAAACAAACAGCCCTGCATAAGACAAAACTTCAAGGCCCATTGTTCCATCTGCTGTGTAATCCCGACACCTCTCCCCAAGGCCCACCTGTTTGCCATGGCTGGGGGCTGCACGTGCTGTGTGTTTCATTCACGAACATCTTACTTAGTGCCTGCTATGTTCCGTGGAGGGGAGCAAGCAGTGGGGTGAGCGTGTAGAAACATGGCAGTGCCAGGGTTTCCCCTGGCTGGGAATATATCCCGCTGACCCCTGCCACGGGGGCAGGGCAGTGTGAGACCCATGTGTCAGCCAACTTGTTAACTTGGGGGTGAACAGCCACCAACCAGTGCTGGGTGAAGGGCCAGGGACAGAGAGGGAAGTCAAGGTGCTTGTGTCCTTGAACAGGGCTGAGTGCCAAGAAACCCTGTGGCAGGCCCCTGGGCATTCTGGAGCCTTCCTCTTCTAGGCTGGGGCAGCTGAAGCCACGGATGCCCCCTGTGCCCAGTTCCTTATGTTCTCCACCCCACTCACAGAACAAAGAACCCCAAAGCCTTACTGGGTGGTCCCCCCCTGGAGGTGGCTGTACTGGATGTCTGAGTGCAGCTGGCCCTCCGGGGCAGATGTGGCACCAGAGCCTCCGACAGCCGCATCGGTCTGGTCAGCCTGAGGCCTACCACCTGGCAGCCTGTCTACCTGCTCCGTGTTCTGGTCTGGTCCCGCAGAGGCAAACTGAGAGCAGCTCTGGAGTTCTATGAAGTCACAGAAGAAATTCCACATTAGCAGAGCGACACCACACTAAGCCAGGGAGGTGCCTACCCAGCCCACAGCTTGCAGTGCCTGGCAGGGGAGCCACCACCGGGCCCTCCGCAGTACACACGTCACCTCCCCAGCTGACAGCCAGCATGGCACATGGGTGTGAAGGAAGTTAGCTAGCCAGGGATACCCAAGGTGCAGCCAGACCTCAGACCATGGCTGGGACAGATTCCTACAAAAGGTACCTCTGGGGAAGGCTCCTCGGGCTCCTGGGGTCAGCCAAGCAAGGAGCAGCTGAGCCCCAGCTGGGTGGCGCTGTGCACTCAACAGCCAGCTCTGCCAAACGCAGGCGTTCCAGCTAGGGCAACAAAGCCGTCTCAGGATGCAACAGGCTCTGCCTAGCACCCGGCAGAGGGCTACGGAACTGTTCCAGGAGGGCCCTGGGCCTTCACACACATTCTCTCCTAGGTCACGATCCAGTCTCGAGAACACATGACACTGAGCTTTCTTAGCAGCCCTTGAATGACGCTGAGCGCAGAGCCACAGTCAGAAAGAAAAAAAGCAGCACCCTGGAAGCCGGGCACCTCCTGCTCTCCCTGAGCCCAGAGCAGACTGACTCCAGCAGGATCCTACCTGGCACGAGAGTGGTGATGGCAGCCTGCACTGCCTGGTACAGGATGTCCATTGCTAATTTCCAGTAGGACCCCATTAAGTAGTTCATCAACATTTTATTAACCTAGAATAAAATAAAAACACAAAACTGTATTTCTGGTCCTAGACTACATCTCAGAACTAATGAACTCTGGCTGGCTCCAGTCTGCTTCCCCTGCGTCGGCATTTCTGCCTGACCTGTTCTGACAGGACCCCTAAGGCAGGCGGGGGACTCAAAACCTCCGGGGGAGGAGCAGCACTGAGCTGCTCAAGTCCCATGGTCATTGCCATTTCTGCTCTGCGGGGCCCAGTGCACACCTGCCCTTCCTTGTGAGTTACTGAGCAGGATCTGCCGTCTTGGGGCTCAGGCTGGGACACAGAAGCAGCTTATGGCACCCCAGGAAAAGACAGTACCTGAATCCTGTGACCTCACATTTGTACCAGGGCCACATGCCAGCACTTACTGCATCCTGGAAGGCAAACAGGACCAGGTGAATCTGGCTGATGGCGAGGTTGTCAAAGTTGAGGTCCATCTTGAGCTTTGAGATCATTGCCACCATGAGCCCGTGCTCCGGCAAGTGGATGAAGTCCCGCAGGATCCCGATGATGCTTTTGATGTGGTCGATGGAGAGGTATAGCTCTATGGAACCCTAGACACACAGAGTGTTCGGAATGACTCACAAAGGCCCAGAACATTGGGAAAGTGCTGCCTCCTACAAGGGAGGGGGCCCGGCACAGAGGCCTAGCAGCGGTTAAGGTCCTCGCCTTAAACACACTAAGATTCCATATGGGCACTGGTTCTAATCTTGACAGCCCCGCTTCCCATCCAGCTCCCTGCTTGTGGCCTGGGAAAGCAGTCTAGGACGGCCCAAAGCTTTGGGAACCTGCACCCACGTGGAAGACCCGGAAAGAAGCTCCTGGATTCGGATTGGCTCGGCTCCCACCATTGCAGTTACTTGGGGAGTGAATCACTGGACAGAAGATCTTCCTCTCTGTATAGATCTGACTTTGCAATAAAGATAAATAAATCTTTAAAAAAGATAAAATCAGGGAGGAAGCCTCAGTTTGCCCGGACCTTGTCTGAGGGTCAATGCAAATGGTTTCAGCCATACTGTACTCCCTGCCCCGCTGAGGGCACCTCTGGTGTACCCTAGAGACCCGGGCAGGTGGCCACGCCCCAGGGCTGCAAACTGGAGAAGGTTGGTGACTGGGAGCCCCACTGGTCTGCTGCAGTACAGCTTTTTATCCAGCAGGGAGCAGCATCACTCCCCAAATACCCAAGAGCACTACAGTATTCAGCAAATTCGTGTTATTGCAGTATTGGTTTTTGTGTTTCGTTTTTGCTGGGATGGGAAGGACTTTGGGGAATAGTTAGGGTGATCACTGTACCTATGCAAGTGCCCTACAGCATCAGGAGAGCTGGTCCCCGTTTGGACCTCCAGCAAGCTGCACCTGGCAAGAGTGGGTGGCACAAGCAGGGCAGGGTTTGTACCTGGACCAAGAACTCCTGAAGGCTGGAAGCCACCTGGTTCTGCTTCTCCAACAGAAGTTGGTATAGAATGGCCCGGAGCTCGCGGTCCTCTGGGAACGAGGATGCACCATCTTCTGGGACACTGTGGCAGACACACATGTGGGAGGGGCTGCAAGGGGATGCCATGCTGCAGGAATGCACGGGAAGGAGGCCATGCCTCTCTAGTCCCAAAGCATGCCTGGTGGGGAGCGCACAGAGGAAGGGGCAGGCACACAATACACTGCCCTCCCAGCTCCCACCGCCCTGCAGAGAAGGCAGCAACTGAGGAAGGCCAGCTCGCTGGCAGGTACACAGCTTGGGGACAGGACAGCAGGCTGTACCTGAGCAGGCGGTCCCCCTGCTGCTCTGGCACCTGCATCTCTTCCAACACTGCTTCAGGTGGGATGGAGTTGTGCTGTGGGCCATGGTTGCCGCTAACCCCAATGCTGCCAGGGCCGTCAGCAGCTCCACGGTTGTCCTCACTGCTGGCACCTTGGCTAGTGCCTTCACCATTGTCACTGCTGCTGCTTCTGGTTGTGCTTCTGCTGCTGCTGCTGCTGCTCAGGGGATGGGCTGCAGAGGACTCAGTCAAGAGCTGGGAGACTTCTGTGGGGGAGTGAAGGCTCAGCCAGGCAGGGAACAGCTGCTGGGAAGGCGGGCTGCCACGCCTGTGCCACTAACTTGCAAGCCAGATGTGGGCCTGGGATGGCCAGCTGCTACCATGCCCACCCTCAGCCCAGCATGAGTGACTGTCTCAGCTTGTGACCCAAGTCACGCAAGGGGAAAGGGGACACAGGGGCATCTTTGCCAGGGATCACTCCACTGTGCTTCAGGGGCTTTCAGGACAGCCAGTGGTATGCAAACCTCGTGAAGACACCCCCGAGCCAAGGTCACAGGCAGCACAGGCTCCCCACGGGGGTGGCCCTGCAGCCTGGGCCTGTCGTGCTCCTGCCCTGCTGTGGCCAATCAATGCTCACTTTGGGCTGGATTTCCCAGAAACACTCTCCAGGCACATGGGCTACTCCAGGCCAGCGGGGGGGGGGGGGGGCACACCTACCAGAGGTACAGGCCTCACCCAAGGGCTGGAACTCCAGGTCACTCCAGTTCTCGCAGTCCACCTGGCTCAAGAAGGCCATTTGGAGCAGTTGGGCGCTGGTGGCCCGCTTCTGGGGGCTGGGCTCAAAGCAGGACAGAATGAAGGCTCTGGCTTCCACCGACAGGAATTTTGGGATCTTGGGGTGGGTCTTAAACATGCCCACCTGTAGGCAGAGCAAGGGAAGGACTGTGTGAGCACCAGCGAGGCCGCCACCACGCTCCTGCGCCAGCCACAGCCTGGCAGCACCTGCTATGGTTTCCTCTGGAGACAGCAGGAACTCTGTCGCTCCCATGGGCATGCCATGGTGGGTTCTGAACAGCCACATCTCACAGCGACGGAGAATGTGCACAATGAGTCCTGCTGCCCACCCAGCAAAGGCACTGAAGTCTTTCTAGAATGTATCTGCTTGGGGTTCACAGCCTCCCCCTGCTTTTCCAAGCCTCCTCCCCACCCCCACCCAGGGCTTCAGATCCACACCTACAAAAGTCAAACGATCTTCAGAAAAACTGTCCAAACAGCTCAAGAAGAACCAGGAGGAGAGGGGAGAGGAGAAGGGGGGAGGAAAGGGGAGGAGGACACCAAGGAGAGGGAGAGTAGGGGGAGAAGGAGAGGGAACGGACCCCCTTAGGCTCTACAGGTGAACAGCACAGCTGAAGCCTTGGCTGTTTCCTGCCTCTCGCAGGCAGCCTGTTATTGCTTCCATGGCCAGTTGGGGGCGCGATGTGCATGAAAGATTCTGTCTCCCCCTACATCTGTAACTCTTAAATAAATATATCTTAAAAAAAAAAAAAAGGCAGAGGGGAGCTTTCCTTTGGCGTGGACATTCTTGGCAGGTGCTCACACCCTGCCTTCCTGTTTCTGAAATCCCAGAAGCGTATGCCTTCCCCCGCACCCCAGGGGCAGCAAGCTCGAGAGCCGCACAGGTCTTACTTGGAACATTGCTGCCTGCGGTTCGCCAAGCTCATGGAACGGAGGCCTGCTGGTGGCCATCTCCACAATGGTGCAGCCCAGGGACCAGATGTCAGCGGCGGAGTCATACCCGCACAGTCCCTGGCCAATGATCTCAGGCGCCATGTACTGCAGAGTGCCTGTTGGGGAAAGATGAGCACCTGTCAGTGCCACGGGGCCAGAAAAGCATGCAGCGTGGGGTCCACCTGCCTCACCAATGGTAGGCGCAACCTGGCCAAAATAACAATAACAATACTAATACTAATAATACTGTTGTATGCTTTCAAATAATGAAAGGGGGGAGGGAAGACAAGAGAGAAGACAGGTTTTTACATCCACTGTTTCACTTTCCAAATGTCTACAGCAGCAAGAGCCAGGCTGAAGCCAGTAGCCCAGAAGTACAGTCGGCCTTCCCTGGGCGTGGCTGGGACCCAAGCACTGTACCTCCCATCTGCTGCCCTCCCAGGATGCAGATTACCTGGAAGGTGGATCCAAAATGGAGAAGCCAGGACCTAACCTGGGCATGCCAACCTGCCATTCCACAGCACATGAAAGCCCCCAGCTGCACATCTCCTGGCCAGAGCCATGCAGTGTGCCTCTCTTGACCCTCAGCCCATTGAGACACAGCTTCTGGTCCCTTCACAGCATGTCCAGGCTGGAGTCCACTCAGTAAGCACATACAGGGTGAGTCTCCCTTATCCAGTGCACTCATGTTACAACTGTTGGAGTTATTCTGGATTTGGGGAGACTTATGCCAACTTCACTGGCTAAATATGCCTAATCAGGAAATGAGAAATGCTTCCCAATCAGAAACTTCTTGATCACCTTCATGATGCTCAAAGACTCTCAGATTCCACAGCATCTCAGAACAGGGATGCTCCACCTGTGCCCACACACACTGAACCCAGGGAAATTAGAGCAGGAGGAGTGTCATGTAGAAAGGCCTCCAGATGGACAGCACAGTGACGGTGCTGGCAGCAGGGACAAGGAAATGAGGCTCATCCCTAGCAGACAGGGCAGCAGGAACATGCAGGACAGCATGGGCCTCTGCTTGGCTGGGTCCGCGAGATGCTGGGCTGTGTGGGCTTGCATCTCTGGGAAGTGAATGATGAAACAAGCTTAGGCATGCATTAAAATTGAATGGCTGAAGGACAATACGCTGGAAGCAGGGGTGGAGTGCTTTCTGAGTACAATGCTAAGCCAAGCTGGGGGCAAGAGGTAGGCAAGAACCAGGCAGGAGGGGTGTCACATGGCAAGGGAGCCCTGAGAACCCCTCAACCAGGCCACTATGGAGTTTCTGGACAAACGCTGGCCACTGGAAGAGACCCACGTGGGTTCCAACAACTTGGCCAGGCTCAGTCATAGGCAGCGAGAGAGGGATCTGTCAACCCCCACTAGAAATCACCAGCGCAGGGCACAGACCAAGGGTCTCCCGCCCCTCAGCACCTGTGAAGTCTGCCAAGCTGACACCATTGAGATGGGAGAGCACTCTAGCAGAGCCCATGCTGTCGTGTACCACGATGTCTCCTGCAGCGTGCAACACACAGCCACTGGCAGTCAGCAACCTGAGTGATCCAGGAACCAGCGTGACAGCAATGAGCCATGGAGGAAACCACCGGCTCCCAATTTTCTGTGTGTTTATGCATCAAAGTGACTTGGACATCACTCAGGAGCACCTCTTGTGGCCAATTCAAACATGCCTGCCCAAGTGGTTATCCTTGCTGCCAACACAACCGAACTCCTTCTGTACAGCAAGGAGCAGCCTGGGAAAACCACACCCTTGTAACTATGATCATGACCCCAACAAGGTGGAAGCTGGCGCCGTCAGTGAGGTGAAGGTCAAAGACGTACACTAAGGCATAAAAGCATGCTCAGGCAGGGAAGGAGCCTGGGCAAGGACACACGGCTGAGAAGGCCACTGGGTGATGCCTGACACAAGCTGTTGGCCAGCACAATGCAACGTTGAGCTGCCACTGACCTTTCTCTGGCACAGCGTTTGCCACCAGAAGGGGCCTTAGGGAAGGTGATAATCAGACATGCCAGCAGGAGGTGTTCATTAATGCAAAGGGCTCTATGGATTAAATAAATGAAAACAAAAGCAGCCACGAAAAAGCTACCTGCTATAACCTTCAACTAGCTAATCCTTCACATCCAAGTGGCAGGATCCCACATGGACACTGATGTGTGTTCTGGTTGCTCCACTTCCCATCCAGCTCCCTGCTTGTGGCCTGGAAAAGCAGTCGAGGACGGCCCAAAGCCTTGGGACCCTGCACCCATGTGGGAGACCCAGAAGTTATTCCTGGCTCCAGACTGGCTCAGCTCTGGCCTTTGTGGCCACTTGGGGAGTGAACCAGCATATGGAAGAGCTCAGTCTCTCCTTTTCTCTGTAAATCTGATTTTCCAACACAAATAAATTTGAAGATAAAGTCAGAAACAGAGAGAATGAAGCGACTGCAACTCATCCAGAGAACATGGTCAGTGTGTTTCCTGGAAGTAAACATCAACCCAAGAATAGATTCTGATCAGAAGAACAGGTCAAGATCAGCACTGGGGAACATACGGACGCTACCGAAATCCCGAGAAACCGGCCTGCTTGAGGCCAGGGCAATGGCTCAGCTAGCTAATCCTCCATCTCCAAGCGTTGGCATCCTATATGGGTGCCAGTTCCTATCCCAGCTGCTCCACTTCCCATCCAGCTCCTTGCTTTGACCTGGGAAAGCAGGAAAGGATGGCCCAAAGCCTTGGGACCCTGCATACACATGGGAGAACTGGAAGAAGCTTCGGATCAGCTCAGCTCTGGCCGTTATAGCCATTTGGGGAGTGAACCAGCAGATGGAAGATCTTTCTGTCTTTCCTTCTTTCTGTATATCAGACAGACAAAATAAGACAAGACTGACTGACCAGCTGCCTTCAAATCTGCTGTCAGGGCCCTCGCATCCTCCTGGCCCACTTCCTCCAAGGTGTGTGTGCGCCACTTTGTAAAGTCCTGGCCAACCTGCCCAGCAGCACTGTCCAGGTCCCAGCCAAGACAACACATGATGTGGAGCCACCTTTTTTTTTTTTTAAACCGAGGTTTCCAGATGCCACCTGGCTGTTAGGGCAGCAGGTGGCATAGGGGCCAGGCAGTGAATGTTTGCAAAGGGCAAAGGGGGGGAATCTCAAGCTGCTCATCCAGCTTCAGGCCCCATGCCCAGGGAGGTCACAAGATCCAGAGTAAGCACTTAAAGTGTTGGGAAGTTGGGAAGGCAGACACTGCAGGGAAGGTGTGTGTGGTGGGCAGCTGCCTCAGACAGTGCCAGGCTGGGTTGCCTCCCCTCTCCCAAGCTACAGAGTTCAACTCAGGATAACTACACTTAACAAGGGAGGCCCTTAATACCACCAGAGCTCAGAGCTCCCAAGTTTGGTAGTTAATGAAGCAAAGCAAAGCACAGCTAAGAGAGGGTGGACACAGCTTCCCATGGCCCAGGGAGGGCCTGCTGGCACAGGCGTCACTTCCTAACCCCAAGCCCCTGGGCAGGTATGGGGGTGGGGAGGTCAGGCACACTCAGCCGCCATGGAGGTAAGGTGCAGGAAGACTGATTCCAGAGGGAACAGAAGCATCCTTCCACAGCACACAGGGGGCTGCCGTCAGATCCGGGGAGACAGCCATGTGCTCTCAACAGTGGGCTGAAGGTTAAGGAACCCAGGCCAAAGAATGAGCAAGCCATGGCGCAAACATTGGCTTAGGGTCTTTTCCAGAAGGTCTCCCACTCAAAGGCAGTCAACTGGACTTGTGGATATCATTGGTACCAAGGCCTTGAGTGACATCTAAAGCAAGGGGTCATCCTCGCCTTGCACGTACCAGGGTCCTGTACAGAGTCCAGGTCGTGTCCGGGCTGCTCCATTTCCCATCCAGCTCCCTGCCTGTAGCCTGGGAAAACAGCAGAGGATGGCCCAAAGCCATGGGACCCTGCACCCATGTGAGAGACCAGGAAGAGGCTTCTGGCTCCTGGCTTCAGATCAGCTCAGCTCCAGCCGCTGTGACCATTTGGGGAGTGAAACAGTGGATGGAAGACCTTTCTGTCTCCCCTTCTCACTGTTAACTTGCCTTTGCAATAAAAAGCAATCTTTGAAAAGATGTGAGGGGCCAATGAATGGGAAGGAGGGCAAGAAGTGAAGGACAGGTCACCTGCCCATGCCCATGTCCCTCTGTGGGAATGAAAGCCAGTTTCCGTAAGAACCAAGAGTGATGGCAGCAGCATGCTCAGAGCAGGGCTAGCCAGGGCGACTCTGCCTGCCCCTGCTCTCCTACAGCTGGCGAGCAGGGGCTGAGGCAACAGAGCTGCACTGCACACTCCCAAGCAGAGAACATGGCACTGCCTGCCACCGGAGCTGCCACAGGCAGGGCAGAGGCAGCAGTGAATGACAAGCACGAAGCAGTACCTTCCCCTGACACCTTGCCTGGGCCGAATCCGGGCTGCATTTGTCCCTTATGGTGCCAGTGACTCTCTCTGCTCCCTAAGGATGGTTGGAAAAGCCACAGGCCAAGGGCAGCTGTGCCACACAGTGTGTAAGGGGCCAGCAGGGGGCCAAAGGACAAGGGCATGGCTGGGATCTGGGGTGGGCCTCGTTACCCCCATCGCTGAGCCCCACCCCGTCCACCGTGACTCTGATACTGCAGCGCTCTGTTCACAGCAGAGATGTGCACACCGTTTTCCTTCCTGATCACCCCTACATCATTTTGCAATGCAAAATCCACACCTCCCCAAGGCAATTCGCTGAGAAGTGCGATCTGCAATAATGAATTATACATGTGTGGCTGTGTGTTTTCCTCCTCAGAGATGCTAATTTATGAGAGAATTGGTTGGGGTTTCACATTTTGAAATAAGTCTTGGCCGACCCTGAGCCCTCTCTTGCTACATACGTGTTAACTGAACAAAGTGGTGGCTTCCAAAGAGACTACAAGCACTTTTCAGTTAGGCTTGTACAGTGCTCAAAGAGCAAAAACCCAGCCAATTCCATATCCGTATTCACCCATGTCTGTCTCTCTCCACATACCCTAAGCAGTGAGCCAAACTCCAACACATTCTCTTCAAGACCCTCTGAGAGACATCCTGCTGCAACAAGTTCTCACTTGGAAACGCAGGCCCCTCCCCTTGCATCAGCAGCTGAGAAGTAATCCTGATGCTTTTTAGTCTCCCTGGATGCGGAAATGCACACGTCTGCCCACAGTGCTGATCTGCACCAGTGTGCCCATCTCGCACAGTAGAAACATCAGCCACCAGGGGGCGGCCCCAGCTGCGGCTGCTGGGGCTTTGGGGACCACAGAGATGGAGCGCAGCAATAAAAATAAATTGCAATAAAAAGCAATCTTTGAAAAGATGTGAGGGGCCAATGAATGGGAAGGAGGGCAAGAAGTGAAGAAGCTAGAGAAGCTGTCCTTGAGAAGCTAGAATCGCACATGAGCTGCTGCACTATCCACTCAAGCGAGGCCTTCGTGAGCTTTACACGTGGCCCTCGGGGCGCACACACCTTTCTTGTTCAAGATGTGTGAGCCAGGATCAAAGGTTCTGCTATGGCTGCTTTTAAGTGGTAATTTCAAAAGGTGACAGGCAGTTTTTGCACATCCTTCTGCCGATTCTTGGTGTTATAACCACATTATGGCTAGCTGCTGATTCTGACCCCTCTGTGAAGCAAGTTCCTCTCAATGCCTGGACCGTTCTCTGGTGGACCCATGACCAAGAACCACATGCCGGCACTAAGGGCCAGTATCCGCTAAGGAAGCAGCTATTTTCATGGCAGACCAATAAGATATTAAGAGCCACTGTCTGAGGACCAGCACTGTTCAGAAAGACCCACACTTTGCTCCAGGCACTAGCGTCTGAGTGATGTGTTGGCAATACTCATGAAATCTCAACATACCTCCACATTTGCAAGATTAATAAGAAAACAGGGCCAGCTGGCCAGCATGGGCAGCCAGCTGAGCACTTCCCTATGGCACAGATAGGGGCTCCTGCATCAGTTGGCCACCAGGCGCTGAAAATGTACCCAAGAACCTAAGTCTGGAATGGTTACAGCTCGTGAAGAAAGCCTAAGTCCAAAGAGCTGCCCTGTGTCAAACTCTGCCCGCTTACCTGCGAAGGTGCGCGTGCACTGGCTCATGCCCGCAAGCCGTGTTGAGGTTCCAAAGTCAGAGAGCTTCGCCACTCCGCTGAATGTGTTTACCAGAACATTGTCGCCCTGCAGCAAAAGGAAAACCCCACCCAGCTCAGACAGATCTCAACAAATGGACGTGAAACCAAGTTGGACCTTGGGAAAGTGTCCAAGGCACTAAAAAGAGCAGACTTCACACTTCGGGGAGCACTGTGCTCAGCTGTGTCCCCGTGTGAGTCCCCAAGAGGCTAGCACTGTGCTCTGGGCTCACGGCCAGCCACAGACACCGCAAAGCAGCAGCAGCAAGGGAACCGGGTACCTTTACATCTCGGTGCACTATCTGGTTGTCATGGAGATACTTCAGGGCTTCCACCAGCTGCTTGGTGTAAAACTTGATTGCGGGCTCCTTCATTGGCCCCCATCTTGTCCGCAGCAGAACGGAAAGGCTTCCTAAAATCAACACCAGAGGCGCGTGAGGATGAGAGAGGTTCAAGTGTAAGGATTTAGGGAAGGAAAGCAAGGTTAGGGGAGGAAAGTGAGGCGATGTCACATAGCTATGTCATGGAGCTGTTTATATGCTGATGAAACTCCGCTGAATGTGAAGTGTTTCCTCTTTGTGGCCACGAGCAGTGAATGAAGTGCAGGGAGTCAACACAGGGCCTAAGGGGGTGGGGTGGGGGTAATAAGGAGCCCTGTGATCCCTTAGGGCTTAGTCTGTGCAGCTACCCAAAGTCAGCAGAGGAAGGGAAGTGCTGCTCTCCAAACGTGGGAGGTGAGGCCGGTGACACCTCAGGGCCCATACCTGCTGCTTTATGAAACTGCCTTGGCCACTGTGCTTGGGTTAAAGTCACATTTTTCACCTCCGTATGTGAGAGGTGGGGCAGGTCCTGACGGCAGGCTCTGGCAGATGGAGGTGGCTGGGCTCCTCTGCCATCACATTTCTAACGGGATGATCTCACGGTTGTATTCAAATATTGTTAAAAGCCAATTATGATGTTTACGATGATTTTAGTAAACACTTCTTGACCTTTATCTCTATCAGTCCTTGGCCATACACTCTCATTTAACCTGGCCAACATCCCACCAAGAGATGACTATTATCCCAATAACTAACTCCAACCACCAAAATAATTGCCACTACTCCAATTGCAACACTTGTTTCGCTAGAAAACAGGGCACACAGCAAATTAAAATAGGCTGCCTAAAGTTGTCCAGCTTGTAGACAGAGAGGCATCTGGCTCCAGACATGACAAAGTCGTATTTCCTCTAACCGATCGTCTGCACTTGGGAATTGTGTGCACACAGCACTAGCGTCATCTTTATCAATGTGATTTTGTAAGGCCATTTTTAAGACCTGCATCCCTCTCTTCTCCATCTCTTCTTTTTTAATTGTTATTTTATTTTGATAATCTTTACATAGTTGATTAGGGCACAAAGGGTCAAGGGCTACAGGAAAAAGTATGTGTGTGTGTCAGAGAGAGACAGACAGACAGACATCTGGAAAGTGAACATCTAACTTCTCATACTAATGCATTCTGACACCTAAGAGGCCTGCCTTTTTTAGAGACACGACTACTCACCTCCAGGCACCTGTTCCATAAATATCTTCAGGTAGCCGCCCTCGGAGACAGAGCCCAAGTACTGAACAATGTTGCGGTGCCTGAGGTATCTGTGCACGGTTATCTCCTCTGTAACAGGCTGAGGGCACCTGGTGGGGAAAAACAGAGCTGGCATCACCTGCCCAAGCCCAGGGGCTTGGCACCTGCGTTACACCTGCTACAGACTGCCCTGACACAGACCCCAGGTCTTCCTGGAGGGTTTTTTTTTTCCCTGTAAGACCACTCAGCTTGCAATCTGTAAGATGAGGGAGAGAGGTAGGAGATCCGTGCAAGCAATTCCCCCCACAACCCATAAAAGTGCTGCACCTGGCCCATCGTGAGCATGAGACAGCATACAGGGAACTGGGTGCTGGCCTTGCTTGCCTGTGTCCTTGGGGAAGCTGCTGAATGCTCCCTGGCCTTGGATTTTGTTCTCATTAGTAAAAAGAAGAAAGAGGACTAGATCCTATCAGGCCTAGTCTTGTAATCCACACTTTCTTAACACACTATTCCATCAAAGGCAGTACTCTACACAAAAGCTCTTAGTGTTGAAGCCCCTTGTGAGCCAGCCTTCATTCCTGAGTGGTCCCAGGACGAAGGGCAATTTGTCCGATCCAATCAGCACCAGAGCACCAAAACAGCCTGTCAACAACACAGTGTCTGTACCTGATGCTTCAGCCACAACTGTGGATGTTATTTCGAAACAGTGGCATTGGACAGCTGCTACTGCAATATTCTTAAGAAACAAGTGCAGAGAGCGCTGGCACTGCAGTGCAGTGCACTAGGCATGCCAGCATCCCACATCAGACCACTACAAGCCCAGCTGCTCTGTTCAAAGCTAGTCACTGTGGCCGTGTGGGAGTGTGGCCTAGTGGGTAGAAGATCCTTCTCTATTTTTCCCTCCACTGTGACTTTGGCAAATAAACAAAAACTGGAATAAAAGGGGAGGGAGGGAAGATGTGTGGGGCAAATTCATAAAGAAATTAACATTTCAGGAAATGAGAAAATGCTGAAGAATTTGATTAGCTGTACTGATGGCAGAAAAATAACCCAAAATGCATGGAGGAGGTTGAAGGTCAAGTTTATTTTTGTTTTGTTTTAAGGTGGGTTTAAATTGTAAACACTGGATGCTTTCACTTTAAAATGATTCATGTGGGGTCCAGTGTAATGGTTCAACCGGCTCATGTTCCAACTGCAAGCACTAGTATCCCACATGAGTGCCAGTTCATGTCCCAGCTGCTCCACTTCCATCCAGCTCCCTGCCGGTGGCCTGGGATTGCAGTAGAGGATGGACTGAGACCTTGGGATCCTGCACTCACGTGGGAGACCTGGAAGAAGCTCCAGGCTCCTGGCTTTGGATTGGCTCAGCTCCAGCTGTTGTGGCCATTTGTGGAGTAAACCAGCAGATGGAAGATCTTTGTCTTTCCTGCTCTGTAAATCTCCGTTTCCAATAATAATACCTTTTTAAAGTCTGATTTTTTTCTTATAATGATGCATCCCAACAAATCACAGCTGTTTTCAACAGTTCAGTTTAAATATTTGCAAAAAAACCTATTTGCACACAAGTGTGAAACTTCATACCCAGGCAGTGAGCAGAAACACAACTACAGTTTCCTTTGAAATTGGACCCTCAGCAATCCCTATGTCCCCATGTCCACAGGAAGCTGTTCCGGTTCCCTAACATAGCTGTCCCACAGAGAAAGGCAAGTAGATCCCCTTTGCCACGTGAGGTACACATTCCCTGACCCAGCCAGCCCAAATTCTCTACAGCATCAGCATGCAGGGCACCAAGATGACAGCTGCAGAGTGCGAAAGGTTCTAGAAGGCCACCCTACTTACCTGCTGTCTCTCTCCGGGATTTCCTTGATGGCTATCCGCACTCCACTGTTCACATTTTGGGCAGCATACACAGTCCCATATGTGCCTTTTCCCAAGACAACTTTCCTGCCGACTGCATCCAGCTCATACTCATACTGAGGAGACACAATGGACATCAAGGTCACAACACGCAGTAGAAAAGCACCCTTGAAGGCCCAGTGCCACCCCTCCATTTTAAAAAATTCTAAATAACACCTGAACACCAGGCCAAGACACCATTTTTATGTGTTTTTCATTAAATTATGACTTTAAAGTGGTAAAATTTCTAGATGGATGGCCTCATGAGTAAAGGATTCAAGAAAAGAGTGCAGTAGAGCTGGTTCACTTTTTCTCTCCATTTTAACACTGCAAACACATGTTTCCTGCACGATCCCTCAGCAGTGTGTCAGAAACAAATCTTTTTGACAGGACAGCTGAAGCCAAAGGGGCAGGTGGTTAACGTGCTAGGACCCAAATGACACTTTTGCTCAGACCTTCCTGCTGGGGCTAACACACACCCTGGGAGGCAGCAGGCAATGGTTCAAGGACTTGGGTCCCTGCACCCCACCACCCAGGAGACAGATGGAGTTTCTGACTCCTGGCTTCAACCTGGCACAGCCACTGTGACCATTTGGGTAGTGAACTAGTTGATGAAAGTGAAACAGTTGATCAAAGATCAACTGATCAGGACCACTAGCCATCAGGGAAATGCAAGTAAAAATCACAGTAATAGGCATACAAGAGGGGGAGATGGGGAGACAGAGAGAGGAAGGGGGAAGAAGAAGGTAGGGAAGGGGAGAGGGAAGGGTGGAGGGAAGGAGGGAGGGAAGGAAGGGGACAAGGAGGGAGGGAAGGAGGGGGAGAAGGAGGGGAAGAAGGAGGGGGAGAAGGAGGGAGGGAAGGAGGGAGGGAAGGAGGAGGGAAGGAGGAAAGGGGAGAGTAGAGGCAGAGAGAAAGGGAGGAAGAGAGGGAGGGAGGGAGGGAGAGAGGGAAGGAGGGGGAGAGGAAGAGAGAGCTGGAGGATTAGCCAGTGGAACTCTCATGCCAGCCTACACTGCGTTCATTTCTACAACAAACTGGGATTCTAAGGACTCTAGTAACTTACACACTTATTAAAATCACTTGCTGACATATTTTGGAAAGAAACCTTTAGCAATTCCTTTCAGTCTATTTTACAAGTACAGCACAATTTTAATAAATTGCAATCACTGGGAAAGCCTGACTTAGTGGCAAATCTGAATTATAGTGTAAGATTCAACAACACGTAAAACGATGCCGAAGGAACCATGGACAGCAACCATGATGTCCCAAAGAGATTATGACCACTCTACCTCCTTAAACATGATTTCAAAATTGTTCTATTTAATACACTATATGCAGTAGTGGTTGTTTGGCATCATGGTTTAAGATGCCCCTTGGCACACCTTCATCCCCAAACAGCACCTGGGTTCAAGTCTCAGCTGCACTTGCCATCTCAGTTTCCAGCTGAATGCACATCCTGGGAGGAGTATGATGGCTCCAGTGCTTGGGTCCCTGTCACCAACATAAGGGACTGAGATACAACTCCTAACTTTGCCTTGACCCAGTTCTGGATATGGCGCACATTTCACAAATTAACCAGCTGATGGGACACCTAAAGCTTTGCTTCCGCCTTTTGAATAACTAAGTCATTTAAAAATACTGAAATTCAAATAAAGATAATGAAAGTAATTTTAGGTATAAATGAAAAAGATTGCTTTCACATGCCCAATGATTTCTTTTATAGTCTCAATTATTATTAATTAGCTTAAGAAAGAACTTGTCCACAGATTCTCCCTAAAAGGAAATTCTACTCTATTTCCGCCCCCATTTTCTGAATGCCCTCAGTAGATCTCAGAGTAATGGGAGTTTTCTATGGAGATACACTAAATTTGGGGGAGAAACTGATAGTGATGGCTGGTGGGTTCACAAACAAATATTTTACAATATACCCAACAGAGGATTTTGCTCTGAAAAATGGGACATTTTCTTTAAGCACCAAGACAAAGTGATGAGGCTGGTTTTGTGGTGCAGTAGCTCAAGGATGGTGGCTACAATGCTAATCCAGCTCCCTGTTAGTGCATCTGGGACAGCAACTGAAGATGGCCCAAGTGCTTAGGGCCCTGCTATTCATGTGGGAGACACAGACGAGTTTTCTTTTGGTTTGGCCCGGCTTAGCCCAGGCCACTGTGCCCTGCACATGAAGCAACTCTCTCCGCATCTCTCCTCTTCTCTGTGAATCCTTTCAAAATAGGTAAATAAATCTTGAAAAAAAAGTGAGAAATTTTTCCCACGGTACATGTCTTCCATGACTCACCTGAAAGATGTTTCCGAAAACACCTGTTGCATGTATCGCTGTGCTATTTTCTGTAGTGCTTAACATCTCTTTGACCAAAGTGAAAAACCTGGAACAACACAGGTGCACATAAGGACCACTCTCGTTCCTTATCTTTTCTGTCCTTTTCACAGGAAATGATGCTTCAACATGCAGCCAATTTTTCTAAGTCATGAACCAAACAAGCCACTCCTTCAACAGACACAGCCCTCTAGTGGTCACCAATCTGCTCTAAACCTGTCTCCACACATGCAACATACTAATTATCTAGGACATCAGCACCCGAAGGCAGCAATTCTTTGCAGAAAATGACAAGTGTTTTTTTGTCTTGAATTAAAGACAAAATCAGTATATAAAGCCAGATGTATTTTTATATTTTAGCTATGAGTAATCCAAAATTGAAATTAAGAAAACTCCATTTACAACAGCATCAAGAAAATAGATGATTTAACAGAGGCTGTATATTACTAACACACTGAAATCACATAACACTGTTAAAAGAAATTAAACAATTTAAGGGGTTGTGTTTTGTCACAGTATGGAAAAAGCCCCCGCCTGCAATGCCAGCCACACGCTGGCTGCTCCACTGTGGACCCAGCTCCCTGCTACTGTGCCTGAGAAAAGCAATGAAAGACGGGTCAGGCCCTTAGGCCCCTGGCACCCATGTGGGAGACCTGCACGAAGCCAGGCATGGACCTGGTTCAGCCTTGGCCATTGCGGCCGCTTGGGGAGTGAATTAGCAGAGAGAAGCTCTCGGGCTAATGCTGCAGCACAGCCCTCCGTAAGGACACCAGTTCAAAGTCCCAGCTGCTCCACTGATAACAGCCTGAGAAAGCAGTGCACGTTGGCTCCAGGCCTTGGACCCCTGCACCCACATGGGAGCCCTGGAAGAAGCCCCTGGCTCCTGGCTTCAGAATGGCCCAGCTCTGGCCATTGCAGCCATTTGGAAAGTGAATGAGACAATGAAGAATCTAACTTAAGTAAAAGAAATGAATCTTTTAAAAAAAGACACACTGTGTTCACGGACTGGAAGACAATATGATTAACATGGCAATGCTTTCCAAATTGATCTACATATCTAATATACTTCCTGCCAAAATTCTAGCTGTCTTTTTTTTTTTTTAAGGATTTATTTTTATTATTTTTTTATTGGAAAGGTGGATATACAGAGAGGAGAGACAGAGAGGAAGATCTTCCGTCCGATGATTCGCTCCCCAAGTGAGCCGCAACGGCTGATACTATGCCGATCCGAAGCCAGGAACCTCTTCCGGGTCTCCCACGCGGGTGCAGGGTCCCAAAGCCTTGGGCTATCCTCAACTGCTTTCCCGGGCCACAGGCAGGGAGCTGGAAGGGAAGCGGGGCTGCCGGGATTAGAACCGGCACCCATATGGGATCCTGGGCATGCAAGGCGAGGACTTAACCACTTGCGCCACCATGCCGGGCCCAATTCTAGCTGTCTTTATCTGCCGAAATTGAGAAGCTCATACTGATTTTCTTTAAAAAATAAAAAGTTGTTTATTTACTTGAAAGACAATGATAGTAAGAAAAAGAGAAATATATTTTCTATCCATGGGATCAGGCCCTCCACATGAACAGCGAGAGCCCAAGCACTTGGGGCATCTTGCACTGCGTTCCCCTGCACATTAGGATCAATAGCAGAGCAGCTGGGACTCAAATCAAAGCTCTAACAGGAGATGCTGGCAGCACAGGTGGCAGCTTACCCTACTATGTTACAACACTAGCCCTGTTGACACTGAAATTCACACAGAAATGCAAACACGCACACTAACCAAACGACCTGGTCAAACAGCCCAGGAGCAGTCCTCAGCCTTGCAATCAAGAAGTTTGTGTCCCACATCAGAGTACTTGACTGTGACTGCTAATTCCAGCTCACGGCTTTCGATCCCTACCAACATAGACCCCAGAAGGCAGCAGTGCTGGGAGAGCTGGACTGCTTCCTCGACTTCTGGGAAATGTGAGGTTCCATGGCACCAATCTTCTGACTAACTACAAAACTGCAGTAGTTAAAGTCTGGCAGGTGCATGAGAAGTAGCTCAATGGAGCAGAAATAAGCGCTTAGACTTACGTGCAATGGACTCTCGAAGAGTGGCAAGAGAAATCAATGGGGAAAGAATAGTCCTTTTTAAACAAATGCTGCTGGGATGGCACAGCCACATGTCATCCTTGTGTAGGGACCAAGCCCATCTTCTCTGTGTCATTCCAATTTCAGTCTATGTACTGCCGGAGCAAGCACAGCCACATGGTAAAGACTGAAACTGGACACCTCTAAATCACAACATATAGAAAAATGAATGCAAGGCAGACTGAAATTGGGGCATGACAGGTTCAGACACACAGAAAGGAAACGGACTCAGCCTTTTATGGTAGGTAACACCTACATAGCTACTGCTGCAGTGTGGCATGCTTTGTCTCCCCAACTCACACAGGGGGTTCAGCCCCAATGTCACAGATACAGTATCCTGTAGTCAGATACTGTCAATTCCTTAAGTAGACTACAATAATTATATAAGTATCCTTGCCTTTGCAGTTATATGCTGTTCACAGGTGACAGAGCATTCAATCTATAGCTGACTCAAACAGTTCAGAAAACATAACCAACACGCACATACAGAAAATGTAACACAAACACAGAAAAGTATTAATGTTGGAATTCTGGGCCATACACAATTGGTTGTTTTTTTTTTTTTGTGCTGAGGCTTAACCATAGCTCTAGATATTTTGCACAACAGAATGCTTGACATTTCAATGAGGCAAAGGACTTCTCTAGACATTTATGAAATACACAATCGAGTGTGAAGCACATGAAGATGCTCGGTGTCCCTAGTCACTAGGGGATGTAAATCACGCCAGAATGAGATGCACAGTCTCACAGCTGCCACAGAACAGCCCTGTCGGCAAGGATGCAGAGCAGTTAGAACCCTCATCCTCTGCCAACCGGAACAGAGGATGAGTAAACAGTATGGCACTTCGCCAAAAGGTTAAACAGAGAGCTATGATGAGACCCAGTAACCTGACATGAGGAGAAGTGCAAACACTTGATGTCACAAACATGTGCACACTTTTACCCAAGCAAAGTCGGTAACTGCTACAAACTTGAAATGACCCAAATACCGACTGGCTGAGGAATGCATAAACAAAATGTGGTCTATCTGTACCACGGCATATTACTCAGCCATGAAAAGGATCCAAATGCAGATACATGTGACACCATGGGTGAACTGTGACGATACTACATCTCATGAAAGTCAGTCACTGAAGAACACCTGTTGCATGACTCCATTTGAAATGAATTGCTTGGAATAGACAATTTTGTAGAGACAGAAAATAGATTATCATTGCCTAGAGTTACATTGCATGGTGAGTGAAGACAGAAGGACATGGAAAGGAACTGCTAACAGATGCTGGACTTATGTGGGGATTGGGGTAATGAAAATATTGAACAATCAGGCAGCAATGATGGATGCCAAACTCGATCTACTACAGTTCACTGAGTTGTACATCTTAACTACTGAAATTGCAGGTAAGTGAATATCTTAACAAAGCCACATGGTACAGTGAATAACTTTAAGGCTGTACAGTACATTATTTTTCACAATGAAGGTTCATTGAAAATTATTCACCACAATCCAGACTATACACACCCGGGCCTGGTGGCGTGGCCTAGCGGCTAAATTAGGTCCTCGCCTTGAATGCACTGGGATCCTATATGGGCACTGGTTCTAATCCTGGCAGCTCCACTTCCCATCCAGCTCCCTGTTTGTGGCCTGGGAAAGCAGTCAAGGACGGCCCAAAGCTTTGGGACCCTGCACCCGCATGGGATGCCCAGAAGAAGTTCCTGGCTCCTGGCTTCGGATCAGCATAGCATCGGCCATTGCATTCACTTGGGGAGTGAATCATGGGATGGAAGATCTTCCTCTCTGTCTCTCCTCCTCTCTGTATATCTGACTTTCCAATAAATAAATAAATCTTTAAAAAAAAAAAAGACTACACACACCCAATTCAGCTCTAACTCACCTACTACGTAGTTCTCCAGTGGAAAAGCAGATTTGAAAGTCATCAGAATCAGAGATGTAAAGAAAACAGCAGCATTCATCACACTTGGAGAGGCTGCAAAAATTACAACACAGGACAATGTTACATGCAAGTGACAGTACCAATTTAGAATCTTTGATAAAGCCTACTAATATATTTTCTTCAATTTCACACATTTTGGATTCATCGACGTTTAAAAATACCCCAAAAGGGTGTATTTTATTTCTCAATGAAATTTAGATTCCAGGGACATTTATCTTGCTTATGTCTCGGACTGTATTTTTCAATTAACTTTAACAGGCATTCAGAAAAGTGCACGAGTGCCCGAAGAGAGAATACATGCTTTCTATCGTCAAGGAGATCAGCATCTCACTGAAAGGACAGCCAAAATACCTGTGAAATAATTTACTATGGCAGCAGAGTTAGACAATTCTCAACTGACAGCAGCGATGGACTTTGTCCTGCCAGGTGCAGAATTCTCTGGAGAATCAGGCTCAGTTCTCTTCTATCATTAGTCCTTCAAACAAATGAAGGTCTCTCATCCAGCCTTTTCTAAGCCATCTCTTGGCCTGAGACTTAAGGCTTCTGAGAACCTTCTCCAGGTTAGGCATTATAGGACCAATAGCAAGTTGACAGTGCAATAGTGCAGGGTACATCATGACTTAGGTTAGACCCGAGGAAGCCTCAAAACCAACCCCTAAATGAGCTGGAAGTTAGCTGCATAGCTCCAGAACACTTAAAGATGCTCTTTGTGCCACCTAAGTCCCAGGGTCTAGGTCACAAGTCAGCCTTCACTGAAGGTTGAAGTGGCAGCTGGAAGTATCTCTCTGGGGAGGGACACACAGAAGGCTCTTGATGGTTTCCACAGAATTTTGTGAAGTGAGAATGCATTTTTAAAATATTTCCAACTTTTCAGCTCTCTTACATTTTCTGGGTAGTGCTATCCAAATGCACTACTCTGTGCTTAAATTATCCTCCAGCCCTTAAAATGATACAAACATTTCGTTAATTTAAACACTGCTGCAGCCATGACAGGATCACATTTCCTGGTGGAGAATGGGGCTTTGTTCAGTAGCCTGAAGACAGTTCCATTACAGCTACTGGTATGATGAAATCAGGTAAGATGTTGACACAGAGAGGCTGAGTGACTTTTCCAATGTCACAGAGCCAAATAGGATCAGAACTCACACTTGTCCACAGCCGTGCATGCACCCCTGGACATGCTGGCAGGGTGAGGAGTGCAGCTGAGGCAGGTTAGCCCAACTGGGGGAACATGATTTTGGCCTAAAAGGACACCAGTTCTGATCCAAAAAGCATACACATCCCTGGGAGTCCACTGCTTTCCCTCCCCCTAAGCACATGGCTTCACATACTGCCCAGGAGACTCTGCCCAAGCATCACTGCCAATAACCTCTGACCTCAGCTCTCAGGGGTCCCTGAGCACTGCAATATCCTTGGCTCAAAGATGATTAAAACAGCTTAGTTTGTTCAAGGTTTGACACAAGGGAAATTTTTTTTCCCCTGCCAGATGCAAGAAGAGCTATCGTATGGTACCAAGTTGAGCAGCTCTTCCCAGCTGCCTTTCACAAAGTGGCTCAGGTGGGCCAAGCCAACAAAAACAATCCATTTTGGATTCCACAAAAAGTAAGCACAGCACATATTCTGAGTATCTGGGAACTCCTACATGCATATAACACCATCACGCTGGTTTGCATCCAAGCAACCATAACAACCACTAAAGTTTCTTTTATGCTCTTACCTTATTCCCTTAATGGAAGTCGCCTTCAAATTCCATTCGTGCTTTTGTTTCTGCAAGTATCAAAGACAGAAGTCAGCAGCTTGATTTTTTTCTAAGCTGAGGAACACTTTTACTTTCATTCAATGGTCAACTGTTTCTGTTATGTTTAACAGTGATTTGGAAAACAAATATACCTTGCATAATGGGCATCACTAGAAAGATTTTTAATGTATTATTAATATCGATGTGCATTTCCAACCCAGTTAAGAGATGAGCTAAATTTGAAATTGTGATGTAAGACACAGACAGAAATAGCAATTACATAGTGAGTGCCCTTCCATCTCCTGTCAACACAGTAGGTGGCAAATTCCTCAAACAAGTTTGAGGAGCTGGTGCTGTGGCATGGCAGGTAAAGCCTCTACTGGCAACATTGACATCTCATACGGATATTGGCTTAAGTCCCAGTTCCTCCATTTTCAATCCCACTCCCATGGGAGTGAGAAAGTGCATGGGGAAGTAGTGGAAGATGACCCAGGTGCTTGGGTCCCTGCAACCATGTCAGAGACAGAGATGAGGCTCCTAGATTTTGGTCTGGCCTAACCCTGACCATTGTGGCCATTTGGGGAGTCAACCAGTGGATGGAAGATGTATCTCCTCTCTTTGTAACTTGCTCAAATAAATATATAAATATTTAAATAAATTAGTTTGGAAACAGCTCACATATGTTAAATAACTTGAAAATGTTTGTATAAGATTGACTGTGGCATTCATGTAGCATTCACTCGTTTTCATTTCCTTTACTCCTGCCTACAAAATTATTTTCACAGACTCTCTTGCAGCTAGGTGGAGCCATGCAACAATTTCTGAGCAATACAGGGTAAGAAGTGATAAGCAACACCTACAGGCCTCACAGCAACCTCAAAACAACCTCTGCCTTCTCTTTCCACAGTTTTACAATGATGCTCCACCACTCCCCCCCACCCCCACCCCATGATCTTGGCAAGACACGAGGCACAGAACAATTTTCATCATATTAAGATACTGGCATCTGGGGGCTGTTTCTATGAGCAGCTAGTCTATCATTATCAACAGAGAAACAACTGGAATTTCAATCTGTGTGAAGATGCACATATTTCTAAAAAGCTAACTCTAACCTCTGTATCTGCCGCCATTGGCTGCCCTTTACCTTGGCACAAAGACATGCCTCAGAATGAAAGCCTGAAATCTCAGCTTCAGAAAAGCCAGACAGTACATCATATATACATAGGAAAATCCATTTGGTTGGTCTGACCAGGAACCATCAGCTAAGCCACCCAGGCAGGGGATAGGAGAGCAGCAAGTGAATGAACACATGGCTCAGAAAATCAGCCATGACCAGCCAGGTACAAACACTCACAATTTGGTGGAGATCAAAGTCCCTGTGCACGTGGTGCTCATATTCAAGTGAGAGGAGATGTGCACTATAGTTTTGAAACAGTAAATTATTGGCATGGCAGAGGGTAAAATGTGCTTGGAAGAGAAATAAAACAGAAAAGGGCATTAGGGTGGGGTAGAGAGGTTTCTTGTTAAACTGGATACCTCAGGAAGACCTTGCTAGTGACCTGAAGAGGAAACTAAAGCAGTAAATGAGTGAGCCATGCAAAGATGTGGAGCAAGTGTTCCAGGTACAGAGACATCAAGTTCAAAAGTCCTGAGGCAGCACCAAGGCCATATTAAAGTCAGCGAGGGCAGAACATGAAAGGAGGCTGACAAGCCAGTCGAGGGAGATCCCACAGGGTCCTGCAGGCCACCATCAAGATTTCAACCTCTACTCCATACAAGATGGCAAAGGAGATGAGGCCGTGACAAAAGGACATGAAAACATAAGAGTGATTCAGACCTAATGGCACAGAAAGGCCGTGTGAGTTTTCCAAGGCAAATGTGTCTCCATTCACCCTGAGAACAGTGGTAGGAGTCAGACAGGCTGCCTTTGGGTCCAGGAAAGATGTGTGCAAGCTCAAGAGAACAAACTTCAGGGGGCCTTGTTCAACCCACAAGCAGGGACAACACACTGCACAGACTGAGGTACCTTCAAAATGTCCATGGAAAACAGAACTTAGGCTTACTTTAGTGCAAACCCTCTGCTCCCTCCACCAAAACGCAAGCATTTGCAGGCTCTTCAAAAGCATCCATGGGAAATGTGCATAGTGGAAAATACTATGCATGGACTTCAACTTATCTGTGGACTCCATTTCCCCATGACCCTTTCTGAAGTCCTCTGATGTATGTACACTAGCTCAGTGGGTGAGTTCTCAAAGATCTAGAGAGTAGGTTTCCCATATAGGTTCCCATATAGAATTTCCTGTTGAGGGAAGACTCTCCCAGAAGTCAGCAACAGGGCTATCCTCTCTTTAGGCCAATACTGACAGGCAACTGCTGGGGACAGGTGGTAAGTACTATAAAGCTTCTACAGACTTAAAATTATAGCATTCCTGTACATATGGGCTGCTATAGCAGGGCACTTCACAAAGTTCATGGAAAATGGGATGAAAAACTAAGCCTGTTTGAGGATGAAAAGTGCTGAAAGTCATGCATGTGTGGACTATTCAAAGGGTTCATGGAAAATACATATTATGGGAAAAGTGTGCGTGGCTTGCAAAATGTTTTTGACACCAAAATAAACTTCTATGTTTCCACAAAGTTTGTCAAGTGCCTATGCACTGGATGATTTTTGAAAAACATGAAATTGTCAAGGTCTGGAAAGGCTGTTTTGTAGCAGACACAGGGACAGGGTAGCCCACGGCTGCTGTCCAGTACAAACAATGAGGCTGATGAGAGATGCCCTCCTGTAAGCTGAAATATGGAAAGAAGGAAAAAGGAACTCTAGGGAAGGAGGTGGCTGAGAAAGTGAGAAAGGGAAGAGGGAGGGAGGGAAGTATTGTATTCTTCGAGCTGTACCTATGAACTACATGAAATCTGTTCTCCTTATAGTCATAAAGAAGAACCAACCAAGGTACAGATCTAAGCCCCTGCATGGGGTCTTCATGGACCAGAAAGATGACCCAAGTGGGCCCATGAACCAACAGACAGGCGGGCTTGCATGGTTGAGGCAACCATGTGAGCACTGAGTTTGTTTGGCTGCAAAGCCACAGAACCCAGTAGTGGCTGAGGAGTACCCAGAAGGCAGGCCCGCACACCTGTGCGCATCCCCTGGCTTACATGCTGGTGCACAGCTTTCCTTCAGAGAAGGTCTCGCAGCAGCAGGGCTGCGCTCCAGCCACCTTCTCAGAATGAATCCTCCCTGCAACCAGATACCTGGCACTGCCAGACAGCTCGCATAGGCCTGGGAAGGTCAAGTTTCCCCCCTTTTTTGTTTTCTAGTTCCTTATATGGTGACCTGCTGTGGGCTGTTTGAAACTGGTACTGTGGGAATATCTGCACCCCTGAAATTAGCAAATGCTACAAATTCAACAGAGAAACTAGCCAACATCACAAATGAGCCTCCCTCCTTGCTCAAGAAGTGTTCAACATTTGCCAGCATCCCCATTGCTCATTCATCCTATAACAGGTCTGAATCCTTGGCTAATAAACTGGGACTGCACATTATCCCACAGTGATGTCACACGAAGCGTGTCTGGGTACTTGCATGTGCTTATGCCACACTCTAGCTACAACACACAAGAAAAGAATGCCAACACCACACACAATGTCATCACATTTGGGGTTCATGTGCTTGCTTCCCAAGTCTGCAGAACTTCAAAGTTGTAAACTAAGGCAAATGCAAAAAATTCCTTTCATGGCAAAAGTGAACTTAGAATTTTTGCAGATAAAAACCATAAGCATTTTATAACAAAAATATTTCATCAACAAACCTAAGCAGCATTTGCTGCTCATATGGCTTCTTTCCGTGTCTTCTTGCGGACTGTGTACAAAGTAAAACATCTGCAACTCATGAGATATGCCGCTACTCCACACAGTCCATGAACAACGGAATGAAGAGGTATTTATTTGGTGCACAACTGTTTGAAAGGCATGTAGTTTTCTCCACCCCAAACACACATTTCCCCTGGATTTCCTGATGAACCTGTAGAGGCATGGACTTCAAAATCTACTTGTACCTAAATAAACCTACCATTTAATTCCATTTACCATGAACTTTTCAAAGCACCCTCACCACCAGTCCTGGAAATGTCCATCAAGGGCTAGAAAGTTAGAAGTAAGGTAGTCACAACTGGAACACTTGCATGAGATCAAAACCATTTTGCACTAAAAATATGAAAAGTCACTTTAATAGAATCTGTTTTTGTTTTGCTATCACTTGACAATATGAGTTATTTTATCCCTATGTCAATGAAATAGCCAAATTACAGGTCCAACTTTTGAGAATTTTCTTGCATCACAGTGGCATCAGTAACAGCAAGGTGGGTCTCTAATGTAAGAACACAGTGATTCACAGAAGCGAATCAAAGGGAACAACCCAGCAAAATCTGCCCATGTTGGCTCTTGTCATGTCCTTCATTACCCTGCTATATTTGTTATGCTGACAGGATAAAAAATAGGCAGAACAACTTACATGCTTCAAATAAAATGCATCTGTATTAATCTCATGTACATACTTCACAACAGCTTGGATTTCTCTCTTCAGTACTCATTTCATCTCTACAGTGCAAGTATAACCAAACCACAAACAACCCAGCACTAATTGCCACTGACTCAGTAGTCAATAACAAAATGGCTGCACCAATGATAAAAATGTGTAATAAAAATAAAGAAATAAATCTTTTTAAAAATGGGCAAAGTCATTGGTTCAACACTTAAAGATATTGTGACCACATGATGGATTCAGAATGTGAATTTGAGCCCCTATTTATGACATGTTTGCTTTTGAAGATATGACCCACCCTGCCCCCACCCCGATTCAGACATAATCATTCATTTGCAAGGAGGGAAATGGCTTGCCTTTACCAACTGAGTGGCAAAACTCTCTCCATACTCCACAAAAGCACATACAATTGGAGGCACTTGGCAATGGTGCTGTTTCTTTATTGTTGCAAAGTTTGGGGAAGGGGAGAAGTTAATGAGGAGCTTTAGATAAAGGGATGGAACAACTACTGTTAGCACAAAACAGCAGCCCAAACCAGCACTTCTCACCTAATGAGCACGTAAAACCTCTCCCCCTCCCCGAGTTGGTGTGAGTAGAAACCAGAGTGGTGTAAACTTGCTAGTAACTTTCGAAGTTTGACATGCATGTGCCCTTGAGTCCAGTGGCTCTATCTCTGGCAAAGTTTGCCCCTCACCCACGTCCATGAGCCTAGGAGGGTAGGCCACCACGGCACACACTGGCTCATCAGCAGAAGACTGAAAAGTGAGGAAACGCAGGCAACATGCCCTTTAACAAGCCAGGGGATCAATATCCGCTGAGCAGTTGTGAAATAAGAAAAATATGCTATGTGGCCACAGTTCCATGTAAAAGGCCTCTGTGTGCAAGGCTACACACATGCACAAATACAAAAGGACAAATGACTAGCCACCAAAACACTGGGAATGGTAACTGGTTTAAGAAATATGGAGGACTTTCGTTTCTATATTGCCTATGCACTTTCTGACAGTTTAACTTGCACAAACACACAGCATCAGGCTCTGTACGAGGTCTTCCATCTGTGATGGTCCATGTGTGTGACAATAGTCCCACAAGATTCTACCGTGCATCACAGAAGCATGTCATGGCCACCTTTGTGAAAGTGCACTCCAGCGATGTTCACTCCCAGCTAGGACATCACCTGCCAGGGCAGCATTCCTCAGAATGCAACACTCAGCGCCACCCAATTCTGGATATTTTTACATATAACCCCCCCAACACATACATGAAAACACACACACATGCCAAAGCCTGCTTCTTCTGGGATTACGTTTTCTCGTGTATCCCCATTAATTCAGAAGCACAACAGTACTTTTCAAATTCAATCAAATCAATGACAATGCAACAGAGAAGAGAGCAATGCAACATGACCTTCTTCCCTTACCATATCCGTGGGTGAGACGTGCCACAAAAAAATCACTTTCTCCTCAGTAGCATTGTTGATGGAAACATATGCGGGTCTGTAGACACTGACTGCTTCAACCAACAGAACCTAAAAGGATTATACAGCTCTGTGTCACACGCAGAAATCTAAAGCACAGATGACCCTGCACAGTGAGGAGGTGGGAAGTATTTGCACTCAACACACACTCACTGAGGACCAACAAGAGGAGGACTCCCAAAAGTTTCTGGAAGATGCAATTAGAAGGTCAATTTACTTTGATATTAATATATCAAAGTAATTATTTCCATACTAAAAATTCACCATGAACTTTCAGTCCCTTCATATGCATGGGTTTCAAAACTTCCTGCATCAATAGAAACTTATCTTTGAATTTCATTTTCCAGGAGCTTCTCAAAATCCTTGTACATATATGTGTGCGCATACGTGCATGCCAAGTGCTAGCTCTAGCAGCCAGGGGTACAAGAAGCACGTACGAGTCACTGCTGGGTGAAGGATCGTGCTCTACCAGGGCAGGCATGACAGACAGGAACATGCAAGCCAGAGTCATGCAGTGCTCTGAAGAACATAGGGCAGGAGGCGGAGAGAATGATGGGGCACTTCTTCAGACAGGGGGCCTGCCTGAGGAGGTGACAGTAAACAAGGCAAGTTACAGTTACTGAGAAACAAGTAAGCAGACCAAATGGTTGGCAGGTACAAGTCTGTAACGATACAAGAAAGAGATGAAAAGTGAGTGACATATCATTAATAAGGTGTCATGTTAAGAGGAGTAGGGGTGGGGAAAGGGACAGGAGAAGTGGAAGAGAGGGGGAAAGGGAGATGTATAGAAGTAAAGAAAGCAAAAAAAAAAAAAAAAAGAGCTAAGAGAGCAACATGGTTACCACAGCTACAGCTGGCTAGAGAGCACATTTGAGTCCCATCATTTGGTTCTTGCTGTCAGTTTCAAATATTTAAGAACTGAAAGATGACTTTAAAACCTATTACCCAGAAACAAACCAATTACCATATTCACCTCGACCAAGTCTACCTCTTCTTGGATGTGTAATGAAATTCTTTTAAAAATGCACGTTCATAAAATCTCATGGCATGAAAGTGAAAGTTCAAGTTCTAAGCCAAGGAAGAATCTCTAGTACTCTCTGCAGCACGTGGCCATCAAAGTGAAACAGCTGCAGGATTTTGCTTTTTTCAAGAACATTTTACACATTAGGTAGTTAGTGGCTCCAGAAGCAAACCAAATCTTTACAACAAACACCTTGGCATGCTACAGCATTCCACTAGGACTGCCACCTTGTTCTCAGTGGGGCACTACTGCCACTTGGGCCCGGCTCCTCGCCTGTGTTCGGAAACACCCTGTGCATTCGAACACATTCAGCAGCATTTTGGGTCACTGCTGACTGCAGCTCAGGAGTGTCCGCAAACACCTCGCAGACACTGCTCAACATTCCCTCAAGACTGTTGCTCACCATTCCAAACTATGATTTGGGTATGACAGGACCAACATTTTCTTCAGCCAGCCGATCTATCACTCCCCAGTACAGTGCATAACTGATAGTTCTTCTAATATTTGAAGTTACAGGATGGCTTTCTTTCTTTCAAGGCATTTGATCATTAGATACCATCATCACCTAGTTGCTGTGATCATAAAGTAGTAAAATTAGATTATCTTACTGGAAATCTGAGTCCGGCAGAAACATTTCTGGTTGCCTGCAAAATGATCTCTAGCCAGAAGTTCAGCTGTTCCTGTCTGGGAGAGTATTCAACAATGGGATTGGTGAAGCGCTGTATCAAAAACAAGTTCCGAACCAACAACTGCAGGTACCTGGAAAAGCCAAACACCAGAAAATGAGATTCCAAAGAAATCGAGTGCATTCTATTTCCTTAAAAATACACACACACACCCCTCCTGAAAGCTTTATTTGCTAAATACTTGTATTATGGGGCTGGTGCTGTAGCACAGTACAGCTAAGCTGCTGCCTGCAGCACCAGCATCCCATATAGGCTCGAGTTCCAAACTCAGCTGCCCCACTTTCCATCCAGCTCCCTGCTAATGCACTTGGGAAAGCAGCAGAGGATGGTCCAAGTCTCTGGGCCCTTGCAAAAATGTGGGAGACCTGGGGAAGGTCCCTGAATCTGGCCTGGCCCAGCCCCAGTCATTGCAGCCATTTGGGAAAGAAAATATTGGGTAGAAGAACTCTCTCGTCTCTGTCCTTCTCTGTTTTCAAATAACCAAATGCATCTTTAAAAAAAAGAATTCATACAATGCCACAAGTGCTTCATACCCATCATGTGATACCTAACCAATTAACAGACAACCACACAGTAAATCAAATAACGCAGATGAACAAAATTGTCCAACACAGTACCTTACCCACGGTTGAGCTAAAGATGGAAATTTGAAAGTACCTGACAAGACCTGGCAACTCAATGTTCCAAGGAATCAAAGCCAACATTTCTAGATCGTCTTTGCAATTATACTTTGAGGTGATTTTGCACGCCCATGGAATTGCAAGTAGCAAGAGACAGAATCCAGATGGCCTTCACCTGCCCTTCCCCAATGGCAACAGATGTTGACATATACACACAGTAATGGACCCCATTCTGTTACCCTCCTAGCCACACCTACTTCTCTCCCATCTCCAGCCCACCTTTCTCCATGGCAATCACTAATGTGAAAGTGTCCTTAATAAACAGAATCAGATTGTGAACAGGTGGAGTTCTCTTAAGTCCTGACTGTAAGTATACGCTTTCCACCTTCAGCTAACTGGCAGTGATGGCCATGGTCACCAGGCAGTGGGAATCACACTGTTAAGCCAGCAGGGATGCTCTGAGAGCATTCTAGTACTCCCCTCTGAGGACAAGCAGGGTTATCCTGGGAAAACAGAACAGCTACACTCCAGCTGACTTGCTTGGTGCTCAGCAGCAGGCCTGTGCCTCTTCACTTTTTCGTCTTTATCCCTATCCCTTCACTGTGAAAAAATATAAGTGTGAATCTAGCAGCTTTAATGAGTTATTTTTGAGTTCTTCAAGCAAATCCTGAACCTGAGAGTGGTCATGGAGACCCATTACAACAGACTGCACACAGCCTGCTTGCTGATACAACAGGACTGTGTCTTACAGGGGGAGCTTCATCTGGCCCAGAAGCAGCCTGCACTCGGCCAACAGCCACTCTGGCAGACCTGCAGGCCCAAGCTGGTGCAGGTTCTCCCAGCCTCAGAGGACCTTCCAAAAAATGACATGCTTCCAGGACAAGACTTAAGGCCCTTGGCATTGGGAAGCAACAGGGCCAAAGTGGGTAAGGTTCAATAGATTCCTTCTCCTGGAAATTCAGCCTGGCCCATTGAATTGGAAAAAAAAGTGGTGGTACATGAACACAGGTCACTAAAACTACCATTGAAAAAATCATGCAAGTAAACCCTGTGCACTACTGAAAAATCAAAAACAGACCCCAAGAACGCAGATCAGAAGTTTCTCATAAAACCACCTCCCTGGGCTCTGTGGTAACCTAATGGCTGAAGTCCTCGCCTTGCGTGCACTGGGATCCCATATGGGCACCGGTTCTAATCCCAGAGGCTCCACTTCCCATCCAACGCCATGCTTGTGGCCTGAGAAAGCAGTCGGGGACAGCCCAAAGCCTTGGGACCCTGCACCCGCGTGGGAGACCTGGAAGAAACTCCCGCCTCCTGGCTTTGGATCAGCACAGCTCCAGCCACTGCAGTCACCTGGGGAGTGAAACAGCAGAAAGAAGATCTTCCTGTCTCTCCTTCTCTCTGCCTATCTGCCTTTGCAATAAAAAAGTAATTTAAAAAGCATTGTTTGGATGTTACAAGGAGTCCCTTGATGAATATATTTATAAACAAAACAAAAACAAAAACTGCATCTCCCTGAGATAAGCAGAATCGGTACTGTGCAGAGGAAATGCCTCGCTCCAGCATGGACTCCCTGTATAACTATCTGCTGAGTATCATGAGGCGCCAGCAGCCACAGTCCTAATGGAACTGCATGTCTACGCAGCGGTCGGATACTGCCCACCCTCCCAGACCTTTGTCTCTGAGTCACATGCTATGCATGTTCTTAGTTAAAACGAGACCATACAGAACCCTGGTTCTCCGGTGTGCTTTTCAGAGCAGCAGCTTCATGGTTAATTTGTAAATGCAAATCCTCAGGGTCCCCTCCAAACCCATAGAACCCGAATTCCAAAAAGGCAAGCTCAGCAATCCATATCTTCTTTTTTTTTTTAAAGATTTATTTATTTTTATTGCAAAGTCAGATATACAGAGAGGAGAGACAGAGAGGAACATCTTCCATCCATTGATTCACTCCCCAGGTGAGCACAATGGCCAGAGCTGTGCAGATCCGAAGCCGGGAGCCTGGAGCCTCTTCCGGGTTTCCCACATGGGTGCAAGGTCCTAAGGCTTTGGGCCGTCTTCGATTGCTTTCCCAGGCCACAAGCAGGGAGCTGGATGGGAAGCGGGGCTGCCGGGATTAGAACCGGCACCCATATGGGAAGCCTGCATTCAAGGTGAGGACTTTAGCCACTAGGCTACTGCACCGGGCCTGCACAAGCTGTATTTTGAAAGCAAAGGACTCCAATGCACCAAAAAGTCCCAGATATCAAGAGCGAAAGCCATTTCATCACTCTTCTTATTCTGCAAGCCAGGAATACTTTTCCTTGTCTTCAAAATCTTGTTGCCCGCACACTAAAATGGATGTATAAATGAGTTAACCTCGGGCTGGGGGCTGTGCCACCATTTGGTTGCCTATACTGTGTTACTGGCTTTTTAGTTCCAGCTTTCATTTGCAAAATCTATACTTTTCTTGGTGTGTTTGTGTGTGCACAGCTTTACCAAGTTTTTCCCAAATGTATACATACTAGGACCAAGCTGTTGCTCTCCATGGCTTAGAGAACCCAAAGCAGCAGGATTACAACCCTGGCCACAGGGATTTAGCATTCAGAGGCGTATCCTGTGGAAGCATCCGTGTTTCCATTGAATTGAAAGCCAGTGAGCCCGCAGAGCTCTTGCAGCTGTCCTAACTTGGCTTGAATGAAGAAACCAGGAACAACAGAGCAATTACTGTCATTTGCATTTCTGTCTTTCCTCTTTGGGGAAGAGGTTTCAGGACAAGGTCAGAAAATAAGACTGGACACACACACACACACACAACTCACCAGACTGGAGGCCTCACTTTGAACAACTGCTCGGCTGAGCGGATGGCCTTGCTGACATCACAGGTCATCATGCTCATGATGAAGGAATGCCCGATATCCCAGTAGTCTTTCATTTGCCCCAAGCTGCCTTTTCTTCCCAACAAGCTATTCAGTTGGACACCTTTAAAATTTAAATTTTAGATGAAGTCATGAAAAATCGTCCTAGTTCGCCATATCATGCAAGTCTTTTCAGAGGACACAAACAGGCATTTTATCTCAGCTGACATAAAAAATAACTGATCATTCCTTTTGAAACAGAATTCTAATTTTAAGTTATCTGAGCATAATCTTTACTTCTAACCTGATGTAATGAAAGCATCAATAACCACAAAAACAAACAGGGTTACCTATTTTCCTTAGTTCTATGGAAGTTTCAAATCTGTGGCCAGCAACCATCAGCAAAATTGCAAGGTTAATTCCAGAATAAAGAGATGGCTGGAGCACAAACCCTCTGCGATACCTATAATTACAGAATCAAATTATTATTGTAATCAACTTACATTAGCACAAAATGTATGCACATAAGAGGTACAAAACAAACCAATCTACACAGGAAAATCCTTACTGCTCCTTTTTTCCAGACTTCCTCCCCTGATCTTGAAAACATTTTCTTAAAAATGTCATAGGGGCTCAGTGGGAAGGCTCAATTAACTGATCCTCCTCTCGCAAGCACTTGGATTTCACACAGGTGCCAGGGTATGTCCCAGCTGCTCCACTTTCCTTCCTGGACACGGTAGCCTAATAGCTAAAATCCTCGTCTTGCATGCTCTTAGTCCCACACGGGTAATGGTTCGCATCCTGGTTGCTCCACTTCCCCTGCTTGTAGCCTGGCAAAGCAGTCAAGGACAGTCCAAAGCCTTAGGACCCTGCACCGCATGGGAGACCTGAAAGAGGTTCCTGGCTTCAGATCAGCTCAGCTCCAGCCATTGTGGTCATTTGGAGAGTGAACTAACAGATAAAAAGATCTTTTTCTCCCTCCATCTGTAAAATCTGCCTTTCCAATAAAAATAAATCTTAAAAAATTAAAAATACCATAAAAGTAACACTGTAACTTTCGCTAGTGACTTTTAAGGTTTTTTCATAATGTATATATTTTTCTTAGAAAAGTCATAATTAACCACATAAAATAGGGGAAACACACTAAAGTATACACAGGAAATTTAAAATCTATTATAATCCTATCTCCCAAAGGCAACCACAATTTGATGTTACACATTGATTTAATTGAGACAAGTTTTGTAGTCAATGTTTTCTATTAGGTAGAAGTGACATCAACCACAGGCTGTTTCTCTGCAACTCATTCATTTGCGGAGATGGCAACATGGGATCCGCCCTTCCCGCACATGAAGCAGTACTGCTAGAACCATGCAGGTGGACAGGAGGCGAGGGGGCTGCTGCACTGGGAGAAAGGGGTAGATACAAGGCTGGAGTATCAGTGTTATGCCAGGAAGGGAGAGTGCCATTTTCATTCTCCATTCTTTTCTACACATTTCAATTCTGGAAAATAATTACATTTTTCCTCTTCTATAATCAAGGATAACTATCGTGATGAGGAAAAAAAAAAAAACAGCTCCATCAATGGAGTAGTGACAGAGAAATGTCTTAAGTGACACAGTTCACACCAAGCACTTACAAACCAGGAATAATTTTATCATTCGTGAAATGAGAAGTCAACAACAGCAAAATGTTAAGTTAATTTCCAAAGACAGATTTAGGTAAACAGAGGTTCTTTGTAAGATGCTCTTGTTCCCTAATTCCAGCTTCCTCCCCAGCGCCTGGGAGGTAGAGGTGAGGGCTTAAATGACTGGGCTCCCACCACGCCCATGGGAGACCTGGATGAGTCCCAGGTTCATGGCTTTGATCCAGGAGGTCACTGAGGACTTTTGGAAAGTGAACCAGAGCACTGGAACTCCCCTTCTCTGTCTACTTCTGCACCCCTAAAACAATGTACAGGGTGTTTATAAATTACTCTGAAGATAATATAAATACTCTCAGGTGCCCCAGAGGATACAAAGAAAAGCCCTCCAACTCCAGTCAACATTTTCTTTTTGCATGTTTCAGGAATTTTAAATTCCCTGTTTTTCTGGTTTTCCATTTTCTTTTGCCACATAAAGTTATATCATGAAAGCACCTAAAGGGTAACTTCTCAAGTTGAACATGTTCAGCTTGGGAGAAGATATGAACTGCAATTCCAGATGGGCCATAAGACCTCCCTATGACCTTGAACTAGCTCCCCATCTCCCTGAACATGCTCCATCTCTGTACTTGATGGTTAAATGATCTCCAAGGTCTTACTGGGAACCAACACACCCTTCTCAAAAGACTGAGTAACATTTAGCAGCTGTGCCACCTGCTGCTACCTTCTCAGGTGGATGAATCAAAACACCTAGGACTTTCCTGAAGGAGCTGTAGGCAGCAATCTGCCAGCTGGGAAATGGAATTCCTGGCCACCATAGAGGGAACATGGCTCTAACATTAGCGACATCTGTCTACCACAAGGTGCATCAGGCTATAGTGTGGATTAAATCACAAGAACGAATGAACCATGACATACACCAAATTAGCACAGACACATTTTACATATCCCAAAACCACAAAGCTCCAAGTCTAGAAGAGCTCACAGAAGACAGATCAGAGTGTGACCCTGGACACTTTGGCATGAAGATAGCTAAAAATGTGATTGGCATTTCCTAAAACCAGTGATTTGGAAGGGGGAATCCCTGGCACAAAAACAAAACAAAACAAAACAAATTGATGCACCCATGGATTGCGGTGTCCACGGCAAGTCCTGGAACCCATCCTGTACGGATGCCAAGCAGTGACAGTACTGCCCTTGCCCTTCAGGTGGACTGCTTAATGACCACAAACTCCTTCCATCCCAGTATGAAAGCCTCTTTTCAGTGCACTTGTGCTACTGCTCCCATCCCTGTGAATTTAGGAAGCCATAGGATTTGCTTTGACCGTCGGCACATGGCAGGAGTGACCTTGCGCAAGCTCCTGAGAACACACCTTTACTCTCTTGGAATGGTCCCTGCCAAATAAAAGAGCTGGTGTATGAGCATTAAAAGCGCATAGTGGAGACCTGAGGGCTGCCTCCGACAGTCAGACCAGCTGCCAAATGGGCAGGTGCTCATGCTGGAGCTTCCGCCCTTCCCTGATAAAGTAGTCTGGCAAGCACACCAAAGCATGTGCCATCTATTGTGGTTTGAGGGCCCTACATTTTGGGATTGTTACGCAGCAAGTCATAGCTGGTACACCACTGAAGTGAATTCTTTGTGCAACAGCAAGAGTACTCCTGTTAAAATATGTATCATACCTTGTCAGCCTTCTGCCTGGAACGTTCCAGGCTGCTCCATTCCACTCCAAGTCAGATTCATTTTCCTGTCTCACAGCATGCTGCCTGCCCTGGCTTACTTGTCAGCGTGCCTGGCTTTTCTCCCTAGCACAGCCATTACTCTTGCCATCCCTCTGCCTCAACTCACAACAGTCATCTCCAAGGCTAACTCCCTCACTGACCTTCTTTAGGGCCACCTTATTTAAAGCTGTAGACTGCTCTCTGCAGTCCTCCTTTCTTAGTCCTTGGTTAACAGCTGCCCCTAGCCCTCACCATCTGCTTTAGTGATTTGTCTGACTTCCCTGACCAGCAATGCTACACACCTAAAGACAAGGAGTTCCGTCTGTTGGATCCATCCTCGCCACCATAAGCCCTCAACAAACCTATACTAAATAAACAAATGAGTCCTGGGAAGACACCACCTAGATGGTAGTATGCTCTTCATTAGGGCAAAAGGGTTACCATTCAATGGCGCAGTCTCGGCTGTGGACGTCACTGCAGTTCGAATCCAAGAAGATGTCCTTGTAGATCCTCCCACAGAGGCACAACATCTCAGGGGCCGGGTACTCGCAGCTCTGCAGAACCTGCAGGATCACATGAAGAGCCTTCACCTGGTCTCCTATTTCGTTTCTCCTGAAAGACACAGGGTTCAGATTAGGACATCTGAGGCCAGATAGAGGAGTGTGTGCAGACTCGCTCCGCCCAATCACTGAGCCGAATGTCGCTGTCCTGCAGCAGGAGCACAAGCCTCAACATTTAATTTCTCAACTTTGAATTTAACAACTCATTAAGTTACACACCAGTCAACCTCACACAACTATATTCACTCCCTAAATGATTCTGTAACAAATGAATCATATGGTGAAAAAATCAGACTAGAGGAAACCAATAAATATTAAAAGACTTCACAGTCATATCAACTGGGGGCTGGTGTTGTGGCACATCAACTTAAGCTGCTACCTGGGACATTGGCATCCTATGAGTGCTGGTTCAAGTCCTGGCTGCTCAACTTCCCTTGCAGTTCCATGCTAATGAACCTTGGAAAGCAGCAAAGAATGGCCAAAGTGGTTGGGCCCCTCTTAACTCCTGTGAGAGACCTAGGTGGAATTTCCAGCTCCTTGCTCCAACCTGGCCCAGGGTTACTGTCACAGCCATTTGGGGAGTGCACCAGCAGACAGAAAAACTCTCTTGCACACATAATAAAGAGAAGGAAACTCTGATAGTGGGACTGAATACTGGTTGTATAGTAAAATCATCTGTGAGCTTTAATCTGTGAGCTGCACACCAGATCACTTAAATCTGAATCTGCAGAATGAATCTAGACATCATGCAGCTTATCTTATGCACTCCAATTCAGTAGGTCGCCTCACTGCCCATTGAAGAATTCTCAGCCCTAATCCTATAAACACGTGTTTGAGCTATGCATGCACCTGACACAGGCATTCCTTTTCCCCTTGGACTATGTTCATCTGATTGGCAGGACACTCTGCTCGCCTGGTTTCCCTCCTACCTTTCTGGTTGTCATCTCTCTGATCTTTAAGCACTGCAGTGTCCCTAGGCACAACCCTCACATTTCTTCCTCTGGACTACTGGCTACGTGAGATCCTTTCACAATTTGAAAAACCATAGCACTGGATGCTGTCATCGATATTCTGATGACTTCCTTATCTTCAGCACACACCTCTCCAACTGTCTTTTTTCACATCTAATTTAACACATTGAAACATCAGTCCTGATCACTCCACCAAAGCTTGTTCTTATCCCATCTTCCCCTTTTGCTTAATGGCCAGTCCAGTTATTCAGACCAGAACCTTGAACTTACACAAGACTTCCCCTACATGACTCCTCCCAACATCCCTTACTCAATCAGTTAGATGTTGGTGAATTTCATTTCCAACCAGTTCCAAAATTGGCCTGGTTCCTCATGACTCTCACAATGAACACCCTGATCCAAATTCCTCCTTATACCCCTTATCTCTCCCACAATCTATTCATGTAGGAATCAGGATGATGCTGTCACCAAGAGAGTAAGGACATGTCATTCCTCTAACACAAAGCTCTCCAGGGGCTCTCATCTAAAAACACACACCACTTACTTTCATGGTCCACAAGGCTCTACAAGATCCAGCTTCTAGTTCTTGTTCTAACCTTATCCCTGGCCATTCACCTCAGCCTTTACCCTTCACCTCCCTTGCCCAAGCTGTGTAAGCCTCCTAGCTGTTGTACATGCCAATCCCTCAGGGTGGAATGTTCTACCATTCACTGACATGGTATCTTCCCTCACCTTGTTCTGAAACTTTTCTCATGCCACTGCCAAATGAAATCTTTTCTGAACACCAAACTCAAAATTCCAACTTTGCCATCCTACTGGTCTGTTATTCCTAGTAGCCCTATCCCAACAATTCTGTTGATTTTTGATGGTCTCTCTTTTCCTTTAGAACACACACCCCAACAAGGCATGTTTTTCTTGCCTTGTCAGTTTACTGTGGTGTGCCAGCATTCAAGATAGGATCTGGCACATGGTAAGACCTTCATATCTGTCTGCCAAAATCAATGTGCAACTGAGCAGGATCACAGGATCCACACCAAACTGACATTAGAAGTCCCTTCTGGAATACGAGCGCAATCCGAGAATACAGTTAAGGAGGCACAGTTGATTTAAGTGGGGCTTTTCCCCCAGATTTTCCTAACAATATGTAACCATTTTTTATTTACACAATGAAAATCACAGAATAAAATAAACATTGGACTGAGAATCAGTGAATTACAGTCTGCTCCTGTCACACTGTTTCCCACACACCTGAATTCTCAATAAGCCACTGAGCCCTTCTTTGCCTCAGCTCTCCACCTACAAGTGGAGTGCCCTTCTGTCTTCCTCAAAGCGCTGCTGTGAGTGCCCAGGCCACCCCAGGAATCCTGTGCCACTCACATCCACCTCCATCCACTTGGCCACCTTTGCCAAAGTGTGTGTCTGCTAAAGAAATCTCTTAGAGTAGGAGACACAGGTCTACTAAATCTTTCTCCTAAGTCAGCCCTAAGCATGAACAAGCAATGGGGCTCCTCAGACCCCTGTGCTTACACCTTGAGTCATCTATCAAAAATTGTTCTTCAGCTTAAACCATCTTACCTTCTCTGTGACAAGAGATCAAGAATCTCCACATTGACAGGGCCAGTTCAACTCATCTGAGAGCTGTGACAGGCTCATCAAAGTCCATTTCTCTTTCTCCCTGGGTACTCGGCCAGACCACATTTCCCAACTTCCCCTGCAGTTACAACTGGACTGTGAAACTGAATTTGCACCAATCAAACGTGTGAAGAAGTAATGAACATCACTTCCTGATCAGCCTGATACAAACCTCCCTGGCACAGTCAAAACAGACAGACCACTCGGGTTTCCTTCAGTCGATAAACCAATAAGTAAAATACAGTCTACACATCCATCGACATGTTATTCAGCAATAATAAAGCATGAAATAGTGCTGCATACTACAATGTGGTTTACTATTTACAACACTACATTAACTTGAGAAAAGTCAAGTGCAAAAGAACGTGTCATAGGATCCACTGATACAAAATCCAAAAGACGCAATGCCATAGTAACACAGACTTGTGGATTCTTAGGTCTAGGCAGCAAAGTGAGGGACAAGGGACAAAGTACTAATGGGTTTTTACAATGGATTAGTGGTTGCTTATAGATGGAGGGATCTGGAGGAAACTGGAAAAAGGATGGCTAGTACACATATGGAGTTTTTTTCTGGGGGGAGATTATAACGTTCTAAATTTGACTGTGGTGATCATCGTGAATATGATAAAATCACGGATTTGTGTATATATGTATATTTTACTGACTTGTACATTTAAATTGAATGAACTGTATGGTAATATCAATTGTGTCTCAATAATGCTGTGACTAAATATGCAAAAGCTCCCTTGGAACTCACCATGATCTTCCTTTTCTTATCATCTGGCTGAAAAAGACATCTAAGTAGCCGGGAGATAACAGTCTGGATCACCAAACACCTGAACAAGACATTGCCTATCCAAACGCCAGCCACATGGGACTGCTGTGTGAATGCAAATGCCCTTCCATTGCGACAGGCTCAGATAATGGGACCCTGCTGCGAAGACCCACTCCCCCAGGTTTGTGCCAAAGCTGCCGGTTCAGCAGACCTTTGGGATCCCACATTACGATTCTCACCATCACTGTTGACCCTGACCTTCCCTATATAGCCCTCCATTGTTACGAATTCCTTGCTCTGGGCCATGCCTTACTTCAACCATTATCTTCAGATACCAGCAATTACATTTTATGCATATGCATGACCTTGATACAGTTAAGCATAGACTTACTTACCTATCAATAACGAAACCCCAACAGATTTGCCTTCTACTACCAAGCCCTTAAACTGACTGACTGATAGCACTCACTGATGGACCTCTTCTGCCTCAACACCAGTTATTATTCATTCATTCATTCATTCATTCATTCATTAGCCCAAACATTTACTGAGCACTCACCATGTGGGTGGCGTAATGCTACCAAGTATTGGGTATTTAATAATCTAGGGAATACCATGTGCCTGGCCCCACTTCAGGCTGTTAATGGACTGATGCAAAGTATTAAGCAAGTAAACAAAATATATGAGCTCTAAAGGAAAACAGCAAGCAGGAAGGGAATGAGTCATAGGAATACAGTTTCCAGACTCAGGATTCTTTGAAATCACCACCTGTCTCAAAGAAGGCCCGTTGGAAGCAGACATGAGAGGCTCGACAGAGTCAGGTAAGGAAGGAGGAGAGCTGGCAGAGAGCAGAGTGTGGGTGCACGCATGCACAGATGAGAACAGACTGCTGCTCTTCACACTGGGAGCAAGTGTGGGGAGCCAGGGTCAGCACTCCAAGAGGAGGAGAGGAGCGGAAGGCAGGCGAGGTCACACACAGCCATGCCTGCGCCTCTTCCTCAGCTTCTCAAAGGCTCTGCCTAGCCCGGGCACGCCCAGCCTCTCTGTGTCTCGTTCCTGCAAGCAGAAGCCTCTTACATACAGGCACCCCGCTGGGCAGCAGCAGGGGTGAGAGAACACACACTGTCCAACTCTCAAGCCCCACATCACAAACTCCCGGTGTGACAGTAGGCTCTTGACCATGCCTACATAATAGTGGTAACGCACTACCAAAGGACTCACACGCACAGGCACACAGCTACTCTGAATCTGAAGGGAAACGTGATGCAGAATACCTTCCTAATACCATTCACCCTCAGATAAAAGCTACCTTTTTCCAAGGGGCTGCCTAGAGCTAATTTGTTGGCCCTGATGAAATATGTCCAGGGAAATGGGAAAGGCCGTCTCCCCTCTTTCCCTGGATCCGCATCTCTATTTCAAGGGCAATGGTGACAGGAATGAACGCACGTGATGTCTCTCAATACAAATGCGAAGGTGCAGGAGGCAGAGGCTACAGTAGCGCCCCCTAAGTGTGCCCTAAGCAGAGCTGGGGCTTGCTTCTGTCTGACAGCTTCAAGCAGAGCGTGTGTGCTTCGGGAGCTTTTCCAGGTTTTGCACCCTCTGGAGTACCAGTTGGTCTCCAAGATTCAACATGGCCAACAGGACGTACAGAGTCAGTAACAGGGAATATCTAAG